ACTTGTGAAAAGAGCTCTGCCTATACTAAAAACCAATATAAAAAGGGGAGAAGACTTTGGCAGAAAATAGGGGTCCATATTTATTTTATTTTAATTTAATTTTTTGTTGTGATGTTAAATTAAATGATCGCAATAAAAATCGAAAAAATAATATTGACTTTATGAGTCTCATTTATTTTCTTGGGTCTTTTACCAATGATTCCCAGCCCCACCAGATATTTTAAACTGGAAAAGTATCTGTTATAAATAAATATCAGTCACATTTTAATCAATGTGGTTCTATTATTATTTATCTTAATCTTCTATTACATGAACATCTGTTAACATATTCATTCAGTTATCAAAATAACTCCTTTAGATAATATTCCAGTTTGAATAAAAACTATATGGAACCTTTAAGTTTTATCAGGAAACTGGAATTATCCATAAAGAACGCTTTTATAATAAAGGACACATAATGAAGCTATTAGAAATAAATAGCGCTTATGATATAAATGAACATGGTGCAAGGGGTACACAACTACGAAGTACTGTGCTAAAGAACTTGGCAGAACATACTATAACGGATTAGAAGAATTATCTGTGGGAGGTTTGTGTGAGCAACGTACTGAACAGTCCAATCGAAATTGGAAGACCTGGAACAACTGTCAAGGTTGATGAGTTGTGCTTTTCTAAGCGGAAGTACAATTTTGGGAGCATTGTCTTTCATCAATGGGTGTCTGGAGGAGACTTTCGTGAAACGAAGGAGTGCTTCCTGTACGCCATCCTAGACAAGAATTTATCAAGAGTCTTGGAATGCATGTATTGAAATGCATTAAAAAAACGACTATTACAGGCACAACTGTTTGTCTAAAGTATAGAGAGTTTCAGGAATGTGTTACAAGCACCCAACAATGAACCTTTCAGAGACTCATTGAACCTGATACTGGAGCATTCACTCAAATTATAGAGTCTACATAAGCTGCTGCAAAAGAAGAAACAAGAAGAAATGTGACACAGCCAAAAATATGATGAATTCATATCTATGTGATTTTGTTTAAGAAGAAAACACCACTGAAAAGATTTTTGTTAAGACATTTTGGTCATTTTAATAACATTTTTTAAGAAATGTGAATTAGGTCAATTATAAATAAAGCTTTCGATATCTTGGGTTTTTCTTTGATCACCAAAAATATCAGGTTAGTATTAAAAAATAACTGGTAGGACTAATCTGCGAAAGGTCCATTTTCCTTTATCTAGAAACTGTTCTAAAGATTAGAGTATATTTAGCAGTTACAAGAAGTATAATTTTTAAGGCTATGGTACGATGAGTAAGAACGGGAAGGAAAGTAGTTGAAGAGAACACGCCTTCCAACATTGTTGCAACCATCAGAGGATTAATCTACAGAGGTCGCAATGGAAGATGAAAACACAAGCGGTTGAACCAACAGATCTAGCGAACAATATCTGAGAGGAACCAGCTTTCATAACCTGTGGAACCAAAGAGATAATGGGAACATTATAACAACTCAAAACAGTATTCTTAGGACAGGTTATAAAATATTTATGTAGTTTCATGTGCGATTTCTTCCTCTAGAGTAACTTTAATGATAAGCTATAACTTACCCACCTAATTAATTTTACTTACTCACCTAATTAATTTTCTTCTCAAATATGGCTAGTTAATATCTAATTATTTAAATCAACTATCATGGCTAAAGTTAGTAGATATAGTTACCATATGTTCTATTAAGCTGTAAACACTCCTCGCAATATTTTAACAACATATATGTACTTCTCTCACAAAAGTTCGATTAAATAGTTTTTGAACAATTCCAGAAAAACGATTCGATGTATTACATATTTTTTTGTGTGCCAGACTTAGTAATAATTGTAAAAGTTTTCATTTAGTGTGGAAATTATATTTTGTTTGCATGGATAAATTTGGTTTCCGTTAAATAATATTCATTTTTTCAGAAATTATTATTTACTTGTTGGTCCTTATAATTTTCTTCTTTTTGCTTCCTCACTACCGAAGGTAGGGAAGCATTGTATTCATGCGAGAGGTTAAAAAAAATGTGCTCAGAATCGAAAATTTCCACTCACGTTTTACGTTTCAGACATCAAGGATCAAATTTGGTTCGGCGTCTGTCTGCAGTCAAATTGTTGTGACGGACAAATCACCTACTACCTTGCAGTTGATGGATCATTATTAACAGATAGGATACATATGTCATCAGCAACTTAGTGATGACAGTGTCAGGATGGGCTGGGATATCAGCTGTATAAACTATGTAAAGAATAGGACCGAGGATACTACCTTGAGGAGAATAAAAAGCTAAAACGAAACAAAATGTTTAATTTAGGATACAACATATTACTTTATAGTAAACAAGATAAAATTAAATGTAAGTTAACAAGATAAAATTAAATGTAAATGTAAAAACATTAAATGTAAGTAATATTTGTCTTTTTTTACAATCATTAAAAGAAGAATTTAAAGCAGTTAAACTACGGTAAGATCGGTTTTTCATAAAATCAAAGATTCTTAGCGATTTTTTTATAACCTCTATTGGAGTGAAGATACATCACCTTTAGAAAAATTGCCTTCTTTGACTAAGTAATCTTTAATATCATTAAGGTCTTATCCTCCTTTTGATGTCGCATAATAGATCTTAAATGCTCAATATTCAAAATAGTCTTGTTTTAAAATAATTAACTAATTCTCGTTCATAGGAGTTATGAAAATAAAAAAATATATATAACTTTTGGAAGAATTTGTGAATTTAATAAAAGTGAAAAAAAGAAAAATGCTTATCCAGGTCGAAAATGAATGCCCGGAACCCGGAAAAAATTAGACGGCATAAGTATAATATAACGTTGGAAAGAGGAGAATTTTAGAAAAAATAATATCTAATAAATAAAGTTGTAGAAGGTTCCAGAGAGTGTCGACAAAATAAATATAATAATTTCTGAAAACTAACATTACTTAGCGTAAATCACATGTATAAATGACTAAATGAATTTTGGCATAAACCCAGGATATGAACAATATTGTCATTTCTCGGCTATTTTTGGCATTCTTCGGGACCAAATTTTCAGTATGATCGAAGTGATCTTGGAATCAACGAATTGGAGCAGCGATAGTTTGAACTAGTCGAGGAAGAGAGATTTATTAGAAATAGAATACACTGTCTTTCACATAAAAAGACATGTCTATATTTATAGATTTTATTGATATATTGAACATAGCAATAATTTTAAAAAGCACTGTTATAAAATTGTATACGATTTTACTAATTCTATCATTAAATACTTTAAAATAATACGCGTCATATTAATAGTACAATACAGCGGTTCTTTTTAAAAATATTAAATAATTATCATATGTTCATGTTATAATTTAATGTTTAGATATTAGTTGATTTAACAATTCGTTTAGCCTTTTTGTAAAAAACATAATGATGCTTTTGAGGCGATTCTTTTCTACAACACACAGAACTAATGTAAAAGTATCGGTGTTAGGCGCAGCCGGAGGCATTGGCCAACCATTGGCTTTACTGTTGAAACTGAACCCTTTAGTAACGGAACTGTACCTCTACGACATAGTTCCCCATACCCCCGGAGTAGGGGCTGATATCAGTCACATCGACACCAATTCTTATACGAAGGCAGCCAAAGGACCAGAGGAAGTGGCTGAAGCTTTGTGTGGGGCAGAATTGGTAGTGATCCCTGCAGGTGTTCCAAGAAAACCAGGTATGACAAGAGATGATCTCTTCGATACGAATGCATCCATCGTAAGGGATTTGATGGAATTTGTCTGCAAGTTTTGTCCTAAAGCTGTCATAACCATTGTGACTAACCCTGTTAACTCATGTCTTCCTATAGCAGCTCAAGTCATGAAGAAAAATAAAGTCTTCGATCCCAACAGGCTAATTGGAGTAACTACTTTGGATATAGTGAGGTCCAGTACATTCGTAGCAAGCATCAAGGGAATGGACCCAACGAAATTGAAAATTCCTGTCGTTTGCGGTCATTCAGGAGAGACCATTGTACCACTTATCTCTCATTGCAAGCCAAAAGTGGATTTGTCAAAAGATGAAATCGTCTGTGTGATAAAGCGGATCCAAAACGCTGGGACAGAAGTAGTAAAGGCAAAAGCTGGGGCAGGAAGTGCGACTCTCTCGATGGCATATTCAGGTGCCAGGTTTGTTGGCGCTGTTCTCCGAGGGATGACCGGTGAGAGCAATGTTATCGAATGCAGTATGGTCGCTCACGATTACTGTGGTCTTAACTATTTCGCCGGACCTCTTCTTTTGGGTAAAAATGGAGTTGAAAAGAAATTTGGACTACCTGATGAAATATCGGATTTTGAAAATGAACTTGTAAAAATAGCTCTTCCTATACTGAAAAAAAATATCAAAAGAGGAGAAGATTTTGTCAAAATTTAAGTGACTCGCTATATATGGGTTTCTTTTTGATGTTAAATGACCTCATCAAGAAAAATAAATTTATTTAATTATTTACATCTTGCCTTTATTATATTTTATATTGTAGAGAAATTGATTCCTTCCTACCACTAAAAAAATATAATAGAAATCAAATAAATTTCGAATTTGAAATAAGTAACATAGAAGTTTAATTACAATTTACAAAATAAACATACACCACTTTTAAATATACATATATACTTTTAAAAATAATTATTTTAATTGGTAATAAGATCATTGAATAATAATTCAATAAACTACAAATTATTCATTGTCCTTGGTGTTATTTGACGTTTCGATCCCCTTTTCTATATTATATCAATAATGGGATCCTCTTCAAAACTATAATAACAAATTGCTTAAATTGAAACACACTTATGTTTGTATATGTTTTAACTATTAATTTCAAGTTTAACATACTTTTTAATATAGGTATTGTACATGAGCAATAGAGTTCAGAAATAATAAAAATATATATAGTGTATTTAAAATTAGAAAATGGCCGTTTTTATTTTTGGTGATGTTTTTCAGGACAACTGTGGATCAGAGTTGTCTTCGCCATTAGGTCCATTCGATCCCTTGCAAAAAGCAGCTATAGAAGGCGATGCAGGAGCTGCAGAATCGGTATTGGTTCATATGTTGAAAAAAAAATTGAATATAAACGAGCGAGACGGTGAGGGAATGACTCCTCTGCAGTGGGCTGCAATCAGAGGACACGAAGATGTCTTGAAGAAACTCTTAGTCTTCGAAGCTGACGTTCATTCCTTGGACTATGGTAACTTCACAGCTCTCCACCTGTCTGTAATAAGCGGTAAACCTGAAGCTGTCCGTGTTTTATTGCAACACGGTAGTGAAGTCAACGCTGTGAATCTCGATGGTGATACTCCTCTGCACCTTGCTGTCAAGAAGGGGGACTTCGACATTGTAGAAACGCTTCTTGAACATGGTGCATTTACCAACATCAGCAACTGCAAGGGAAAGTATGCACTCGATTTAGCGATTGAAGAACAGCATCTAGCTATCGTTAAATTGCTGAAATCGGTCAGAGCGTAAGTCTTAACAATCTCTTTTTCTTTCTTTCAACCGAAGGAATATAAACTTGGTAATCGTGCTCAAGGTTAAAGAAAACTTTCTTGTTAAAATCGTATATACTCGTTGGTAAATACTTGAAAGACATATATAGCTTTCAGTTGTCTATCAACATTTTTGTGTAATGTCATTTTAGGGACATTTCTTGGTGGAAAAGTTATACCTATATAGACAGTGATTAAGTTGATTCCAGAGTAGGTAATTGCAGTGTTGAAATATAGAACTGTGAATAAAGGTATAAATTTTCCCAATAGAAACATCATCAATGTTAATAATAAGAAATGTTGAAATTGGAGTTAATCATTCTGTCAACTGAAAGTTTTTCGTAATAAAAAATGAACAACAATGGGAACATGTAAATAAAGTAGTGATTGAGTGCACTTTAAAGAAGAACAAACACAAAACTATATTTTATCAAATTTTACAAAGCAGAGATTTTTAAGTACACAATTCTTTCTAACAATAATTAACATCTGTTTTTTAAAAATATCTTTTAGAATAGCTCTTTTGCCTGGAATTTAAAATAATAGATTTCACTTGGTATTCAAACGTAATAAATCAAACTTTCATGGTTATCAAATTCCGGGACATCCTCCCGGACATTGAGGAGTTTATAAGTACTCAACAAACATTGCTAGAAATAATTACAAACAAATCATCAAAACATAACCAGCACGTAAAATTCAAATGTTCTCTTACTGATGTGGACTACAAAAGGATTCAAAGAAACCGTATAGACATTCGCACATTTCTGCAACATCGAGTTTTACAATCGATTATCCTTTTTATTCTTTCTTGCACGTGCTTCAATTACTTTCTTTATAGGTCTTGAATTAAATTCCTCGAATTTCTTTTTGTATTCATTCACAAGCTCATTGGGAACAGGTGCTTTCTTCATCACGTGCTTCTTCTTATCTTCTACAAACCAATCAGGCAAGTTCTCATCATTGAATGCGTATCTATTCCAAGCACCACCAATTAGGTCTCGCTTGGTGACCTGCGAAGAAACCATAATGGCACCCAATGATAACTGTTGTTCGCTAAGTTTTACTTTTTTCAGTTTACTATCTTTAGGTATAATTTCACAGCCTCCATCCTTCCCAGGAACTTTCTTTACTTTTGAGGGTGGTTGCTCAATTCCGAAATCAGAACCAAAATCTGAAAAATTGTCATCGGAACCGTCACTCAACCCTTCATCACTATCAGTTTCAGCCTTTAATTTCATCTGAAATTTGTTAGGTTTGATCTTGGCAATAGGTTGTTCTGTCGTCGTTTTACAGATCAAACTCACCCCTTTCTTTACAACACTCTTTGCCATTTCTTCCAACTCAAATTCTTGATCTTCGTCCTTCTCAAGATCTTTAAAAACATGCTTCTCAAACGACAGATGTGCCATGTGAACGCGCTTAGTCTCCTCATCCCTGGGATCCAAATCAGTTAGAAACGAATGATTTTCTCTCAGATCATCTTCATCATTACAATCGCCTTCTTCTGACTTTTTAGATACGTATAACATATCGTTGGAAAGCGACGAATTTTAGAAAAATGGTATCAAATAAATAAAGTTGTAGAAGATAACGGAGAGTGACGAAAAAACATAAAAATAATTTCTGGAAAATAACTTTATTTAACTTTATTCACATGTTTCCAAGGGAATTAAATGAATTTTTCTAACTAAATTAAACTTTAAAATTGCCTTTTAAGTTTGAAGAAAGTATTTAAAATACACTCAATCAAGGAATTACATTGTTTAAAATACCAGAAGTAAAATATAAAAATATTTTCATAAAAAATATTAATGCTTATAACCTTTGTAAACCCTAGATCTGATATTAAATTTAAATTATTAGGTATCTTTCGTCCGTTTATTCCGAAACATCATCATGTAAACTTTTAGTGAATGAGTTGATGAATTTCCCCTTTGTGATATCTTAACACCATCCGCTTATGATTAGTTTGACAATGTTTGACTTATGACAGGCAATGCAAATCTCGTATTGACATTTTAGCAAATTTTGCTATGAAAAAAAACTGGTTAATAACTAATAGTCGTACAATCCACGATAATCTGTCGATATAATAAAAATGATATTTGTTATTTTAATGGTAATAATGATTTATATATTTTTTCCATCCTCACTACAGAAGGTAGGGAAACTTTGTATTCGTTCGAGAGAGCTTAAAAAACATTTTGTGGTCAGAATCGAAAATCGTCGTTCGCGTTTTACGTTTCAGATATATAGAATAAAATTTGGTCCGGCGTCTGTCTGTCTGTAGTCAAATCGATGTAACGGGCATATCACCTAAAATATAAAATTATATTAATAAATCATAAAGAAATAATTAGTTTATATGCTCTCCTTTACAACACTCTATTTTTACATACGATCTGATGCACTAACAGTATCGATATGCATATTCCATATGCACTGGAGTTTTTATTTTTATTACGAATCATCAAATATGCAATCTGAAAATGCGGAACTCTTTTACATTTTTGTATTTCCTGATAAACAAAACTCGTGGATATCAAACCCGTTTACATTAAGGGATTACTGAATTTCCAAAAACAGCTTCTTCCAGAGATTTAGTTCTCATACGAAATATTTTAGACCTTGTAATATAGATATATTTTAGCCCATGAAGCCGGTGAGGAAGCTGTACTGACCTTACTTGGCAGACATTTTTTGTATACAGTCAGTTAGTTCATTTTCCATCTAAAAATTATGAATTCCTGACAGTAAATATTGTTCCACAAATAGACATTCAGATTTTTGGGTCAGAAGTATAATTATACTTATATAATTAAAATTTAAAAAATCTAAAATTAATTCTGCACAATTTTAAATAAATGAATGACAAACTACAGATGAATGAATACAAATTAAAGGTTTTAGTTAGAGATAAATTATTGATTTTTTGTTTGACATGTCATATTCATGTATGAATAAATATGGAAAAAATAATTTGGTACAGCCTTTCAATTCTTTGGTTTTCATAGTTATTACTATGTTAAAATCGAAGAATTAAGAAAGTAAAAACGAAAAATAAACAACTAGCTACACGATTTGACTTATTCCATTTGATAGTAGGTTACAAAACATAAATTATGTGAAAAAAATTACTTGCTCATATTCTCAATTTTTTAAGAACGAGTGATTTGTAAGTGTATACATATTATGTAATTTAAAGAAATTATTAGCTGGGTAATTCAATCAATGACCTTTCTATCTCAATTAACTTTATTTATTTAAAGTTTTATACTCTTTTCCTCGACGGTACTTTCATCACATTTATATGGACAATAGAAGATCTATTATAGCCATTTTGAACATTTTGAGTTGGTTCGAAATTTTTCGCTAGCTGCTATATTGGGTTTTGATGAATCCAAAAGGTTCGTTAAAAACAAATGTTCCCAATATTAAATCCTATATCTGCAACTTACTTCAATTGTTTAAAATTAAACCTGAATGAAACTTCTTTAGTTATTTTAGAATAATACATTAACCAGGAGTGTCGCATGATTCCTCCCCAGTCTCAAGATATTTTATTGCACTCCTCAACTAGAAAACATTTTCTGCGGTCTGATCCATACTTTCCCGTTTCCCTGCTTTGAAACTTTTCATTCCTGAAATTAATAACACTATCAAAATGTGCCCCCCTCAATAATCAACCGAGTAAGCAGGTAAATAAGCTAATGTTAAAAATGTAAAAAACTGTTTTAGTAAAATTATATTATATCAATTTATTCATATATTCTAGGATTGGAGAGGATTCTACTGCTGTCCTAGAAGATCATTTCAGAGTAAATACTTCTTACATTGGGTACGTTCTATGCAAACTTGATTATCATCATGTTCAAACATTTAAAAAAAATAAAATTCCATACTTTTTGTGAGTTATGACCAACTATCCCATACAGAGATCTTTTCCATTGGGCAAATGATGTTCAAGCGAACAACATTCCAGAAGATGCTGTTATCGGAGGAACAGATCCGCTTTGTAACTTCATATACGTCGGAAGAGCATCGCATGGTAACCATCTCCTGCCAGCCAAGGTTTGTCCGACCAAGCAATTCGCATATTACTCTCTTGGCGGTAGCGAGTACTACACTAAAAAATACCAGGTAGGCATGAACTTAAGACACTTCTGACAAAGCATGTGTATTGCCTGAATCAGTTTCAAGTTGGATTTTATTTCACAGATACTTTGCAGTAAAAACGTTCTATGGAAGCCGGTGAACAGCAACGAAGATTTAGAACACGCATTATTAATTGGAAAGGGGGCTGATGGAGATCTCTTTTACGTAGGAAGGACCTTCTTGGAATTTGAAGGCAATGAATACTTGACACCTGGAAAGGTAACTGTGGGCTACGCACCTAGATAATTGTGCATATATTTTTTAAAAATTTAAATTGATAGGGTAAAATCATAATATAATACTGAAGGAAGCTGGTCGACTGTTCTACATATCATGGATGATAAATATTTAGAATGCAGTCATTAAAAGGATATTCAAGTACTTGAATATCTTCAGTGCTCGAACGCCCTGTTGATGACCCACATATTTGCGTTGAAACGTCGGCACTAATAAAAACCTTATAATGACTGTGTCCTGAATATTTATCACCCATAATATATCACATATTATAAAATACAATCCCCACCACTCCTTTATATTGTCAACAATTTAAATGTTTTTCATTAAACTAATGTTAGATGAACATTACGCTACGTTGGCAACCATCATTTTTAACCTATAAATAGTTAATACTTAATAATACATACATTATAATAAACAGTTAATACTTTTTTTTGTTCATATTCAGAATAATATTTTCTTCCTCGATTCGCCAAATTTTATTTTCTAGATTCTTAGTATTACTATGGATAATATGATAAAATTAAACAAAACATAAAATTAGACGCAACAAATTAAAACAAAGAAAATTTTAGCAATTCTTAATATCCAAAATAATTTAATAAATATGATATATAAAATTTACTTTGTTTTAATAATTGTTGTCTTATTTTTTATTTTATTTTCAACCCTCCCCTGCCTGAAGGCAATACGGGTATTTGCAGCAGTGGGATGTTACTGTTACATAACAACCCACTGCTGCATTTTTTGGCTATTACATTATTTTTCTGAGCTGTGCACACAGCTTGCTCTTCTCTTCACTTGTATCTGGTTTTCTTTTCTTCTGTCTATTCCGGTGGCCTCCCCGGTGCAGCTTCTCTTCTTCTTCCCAAAGAGAAGTGAGTTGGTAGTACAACTTCTTTCCATCCATATATAAATCGTTTGAAGTGATCGTATTTGTCTTTGGCCATAAGTTGAGGAAGATCTCTCTCTGTTACGACAAAGAGACCTGTTTCTCTCAACAGTTTCGCCCTCAGTGACTCATAGACCGTACAGGTAAGTACTACATGCTCAGCGGTCTCTGGTACCCCACAACTTGGACATAGGGGATCGATATTTATACCATACTGAACGAGCTTTGCTCGGAAACCCCCATGCCCCGTGAGAATCTGTGAAATCCAGTAGTCCGGGAGGACCCAAGTCGCTTCTAGTCGCGAACTGACGGTGGGGAAGTACTTCCTTAGGGTAGCTCCTTTGGGAGTCGTCAACCACCGTCGGTTCCAGTTCTCTACTGTATCCTCCCGGAGGATCTTCTTCCAGTTTCTTGGATCATCTCCTATTCTCACTCGGAGGTAATCCGGTAGAGCCGCTAAGCATTCTCTCCTTATCTTATACCGGTAGTAGTCTTCTCTCAGCAGGAGGTCGAGAGGTATTCCTCCTGCCAAGACCTGCACAGCCTCATGAGACACCGTCCTGAATGATCTGGAGACTCGAAGCAGAGCCATCCGCTGAATCGTGGCCAACCTACATTTCTGTCTGTGCGAGAGATTTTGGCTCCAGGCAGGGGACGCATACCTCAGGATACTCACAATAACACCTTTATAAATGGTCATAGTCGCTGGGTACCTGAGGCCCCAAAATGCGCCCCCAATACGACTGAGTCCGTTAAGGGTTAGGGCTACCCTACTTCTCAAGTAGTCCAAGTGAGGTGTCACGTTGAACTTTCTTCCAATCCTAATCCCAAGATAGGTGACAACCTCACTTGGACGTATTCTTGATGCTTGTATAACCATTGTTATAGGGTGAGCCCTATCAGTCGTGCCTTTCAAGAGGATGGCCTGAGTCTTGGCGGCGGCCATTCTGAATTTCTTCTTCCCGCACCACTCTTCTACTAGGTTGGCGCACCTTTCAGCTTCTTCTTTCAGTCGGGCTCTGCTGTTCGAGGCTACCACAACCGCCAGATCATCTACATAAGCCGTAGCGGGGAACCGCTCCTCTTCCAGTACTCCCAACAACTCATTGAATACTAAATTCCATAGGGCAGGACCTAGAACAGAGCCCTGGGGACAACCTCTTTCCACGGAGTCTTCAACTTCAAAGAAGTTACCCCGTATTCTTAAAGTTCGGTCCTGAAGATAGCTCCGTAATAGCTCGTACAAGTTGCTGGGAGCTTCATACTTCTGCAACTGCTGGAGTACGCAAGGCCACCAAACACTATCGAAGGCGGAGGTGATATCAAACAGGAGTAGCATAACATACTTCTCCGCCTTCTCTTCGACGTCATTGCGCACTCTCAGCAGGGCATCCACGGTTCCCCTACCCTTAGTGGATCCGTACTGCCGTGGATGGCTCGCTCTTGAGAAGACTGGTCGTAGGCTCACCAGGAGTAGGTTCTCTAACACTTTGCTCATAACAGGGAGGAGACATATAGGCCTATAAGACTTGGCTAATTTCTTGTCCTTGTCTCCTCCCTTGTAAATGAGCCTTATGTCGGCAATTTTCCAATTTCGTGGAAAGTATCCCCTATCGAGGCAATCATTGAATAACTTCAACAATGTATCTTCGATATAGGGGATACTATTCTTTAGCATAGCCGCATCGATTGCGTCTAAACCGGGAGCACGACCAGTCCTTTGCCTGTCCACAGCAGCACGGAGATCCCATATGTCCCATGGTGGGCACAAGTCCGTACCAGGTGGACATACCGTAGTGCGCCTTATGAATTCCTCTTCTTCATTATCTTGGGACGGATCATCTCTGGGGTAGATTTCTGCTATAAACATCTTCGATGTCTCTTCCAGAGTGGTTGCATGGGTAGCTCCGCACTTGAGCGCAGCAATCACTTGTTGTGGTGTCAGCTTACCCAGAGCCACTCTGTAAGGAATACCCCAAGGATTCTTTGATGACTCCTCAACAATGAACTCGTCCCAAGACTTCCGCTTTTGTAAGCGCACCTCATTTCGATATGCCCTGGCTTTAGACTTGTACTCGTCACGAAGTGTAATGCGCCTCTCGTCACAAATACACCTCTGGTACGACCGCCGGGCCTTGTAGAACTCTCTCTTCATCATAGTTAAGGCCGGCGTCCACCATGGGACAGGTCGAGCTCTCGTCTTCCGATGCTGGAGGGATTCTTCAGCAGCATCACGGATGACAGTTGTGATCCTGGATACCCTGTAATCCAGATCATGAGTCTGATCCATGTCAGCTTCATCCCATTCCTCATCAACCAATTTTCCCTCCAGAGTCGACCGGAAGGCGCTCCAATCTTTTCTTCATGTTATGTAACCCTTGTCTGTGCCATGGGAACTAAATGAACTTTCCACCAGCCTAAAAGATATCGCCTGATGGTCGGAACTCGTCTCAGATCGAAGGGTCCAATCGATGATGCGGTTTGCCAGCACCGGTGATGCCAAAGTCACATCGATCCAGCTGTGGCCTCTTGCACTGGAGAACGTTGGGATAGCGGAGGAATCGTTTATGACTAGTAGCTGGCTCCTTGCTATAAATTCACCGAGCTGGACGCCTCTTCTATTGGTTCGATTGGACCCCCAGACCGTGTTCCAAGAGTTGGTATCTGAGCAGATGATCACGTTCCGAGTGCAAGCCGTGATCATCTCCACGGCGGTTATGTCCCTTTCTATGTCATTTCCATCAGGCATGTATGATGAAACTAGCGTAAAGGAAATATTACGCCACTTAATATGACATGCGACACAATCCGCCGTGGTATACTGCCTCAGATCCATCACATCGATGTTAGGATTATTAATCACAATAGCAGCCCTGGGCCTCCTCTCTCTACTGCCCAAAGCTATAACTCTCGATGTGAGGCCAAACCCCGTTACTAAGTTCCCACGGCAGGTTGGTTCTTGAACCGCCATAACATCGTAGCGCGGATAAAGAGCCCGGAGTTCGTCTGCCACTAAATGCCGGCGCCCCATGTTAAGCTGGAGGATGGTAAGCTCACTCATAAAAGGTCCTCTTCGCTACCTCTTTAGCCCACTTCAGATGCACAGGGCACTCCCGACTTCCCGCCTTGTGCTTCCTTTGACTAGCAGGCGCATTTACCCGCTCGCAGTTGATGCATGATGGGCTAGCCAGTTCTTTTTTCTTAGGGCAATCTTTAATAACATGGCCAGTGGACGCGCACCAAATGCAGACTACGGCATTTGATATGCAAGTGGCCTTAGTGTGCCCATATCCCTGGCATTTACTGCATCGAGGAGCGTCGAGGTAGTCTTTGATTGTAATACTCCACCATCCTCCATCTAAGCTTCCTATTTCCAACAGCAGGAATCGAACTGTAGGGTGCACTTCTATCACCCAATTCTTTGTAAAGCCATTTCTTGCCATTGAGGAAAAGACTGGCCGGATATCATCTACGACCAACGGAGTGGGAACCGACTTCTCGGGTATTCTTTCCCATAAAAATCTCACCAACTCCGCTGAATCCCATGAGAGGGGGACGCCCTGAACCTCCAATCTAGGTTTCTTCCTCAAGGCAAGTTTGGCTTGAAGGCCACTGTCTCTTAGCCCTTGCCATCCAATCACCTTTGTGGCATCACTACTATTATCCATACGGACCAACACGGAGCCAGTCTTGGTCGTACGGACAATGGAGGCCTTTACTCCAATTTCGCTTGGTGAAGGCAACCCATTGATTATATCTGCTGGTCTCTTGCCCGTTCCGCTTATAGTGATATACGTCGATCTCTCAGTTTGAGTTGGCTTTGTAGGCAAAGATTTCACAATATCCGCAATGGTTATTGGTTTCTCTTGCCGTTGTTCTAGAGCTTTCGGTTCTATTGAGATCACTCTGTTTGACGAAGTAATTGCTTTATTAGTAGCTTTAGTTTTTTTCTTCCTTCTCTTACTCTTGACCGTTTCAAATCTCTCTGTTACCTCCGGAGAATGATCCATATCTTGACTAGCAAGTTGGTGCTGTTCTCCAGAGGGGCCTGCCTTAGGCTGTACATGTTGAGGTGCTGAACTTGAAAGAGCCTCCAAAACCTTTGGCATAGAAGTCTCAACGATAACTTTGGTTAACATGTCATGCACCTTCTCCGATGACAATGTTTCATTTATTGCTCTTTGGACAAGGGTAAGTACACTGTCATAACTATCTTCGCCTTCTGAGGTCTCAATCATCTTAACAAGACATTGAATCTTGGTGCTAATATGGTCCCTAACACTACTTACGGGCTTGTTTTCATGTTTGACCATGTATAAACGGAGATTCTCCTGTATTCGCTTGGCTTCAAGAAATAGATTAGAGCCCTCTTCCAATTTCTTTTTAGCAACAGGGGAACCCTTCCTGGCCCTCTTTATCGTACGTTTTCGTTCTTTACGAGGTTCCACTCCTTCAACTATATTATCATGCAACATAGTAAATTAAAAGTGATGTAACCTTTAAATAAAAGAAAACTCACTTATCTTTCCTAAAGAGTCTTTGGGCTTCCTAGGGAAGCTTAAGGTAGTTATAGCTACCAAGGGGTAGAATAGTTTTCCTTAACACACTTTAAAACTATTTTCTGGAAAAATGTTAAGTAGTAGATAAAAAGGTTATAGTGAAATAAACTTGATGAGTCTTACACTGACACTTACCTTAAGGTACGACAATGTCTAACCCAATATTTCGCTACTGAAGAACTTTACGAAACGCACTACAGAAATAACACTATAAAAGAAACACTTAACCTAACAGTCCAAAACTATATACACCAATAAAACGAAATTAACAGGAACAGAAACTACAAAATAACATAATTAATGAACAAACTAACAGAAACTTATTATGAAATAGAACAATTAACACAAAAACACTATAAATAATTAGAAAATACGTAATCAAAAGCTATAAGCAATTACACTATAGACCTCGCATAACCTTCAACCCGCCGAATAATTGTTGTCTTGTAAAATACTTATAAAATTGCGTTTTTCACCCAGATATGTATAACAGGGATTAATCCTTATTTATAAGTGCCATATGTAACGTTCCTGATCCTAATATTAACGTTTTAATGAGAATAATTGTAGCAATTAGCATGTTTTTTTTATTTTAAACACAAATTTTAGGAAATTTATTTTGATACTTGTAAATAGGGATTAATTCTTGTAATACATATCTGGGTGAAAAACAAAGTTTCATAAACACTTTAATGAATAAAAGTTTGAAGAATCAGTATTTTTTAATATATATTTTTTAAATAAACAGTGTATTTATGCATAAAAATAAGCTTTGTAAAAATCGATTTAACTCATTTTTGCTTAAAACATAAGTAGTTTTGTGTCTGACAGGATAATCACACAATTTTTTTTACACAACTTGAGGTGAATCACAAGTTTCTGTCTATTAATATGGACTTGTTAATTTATTAATCATTAATTAATAGATTAATTAATATGGGCTTAAAACTCATTAAACAAAGAAGTTATCTGAAGTATAGGCGAATGATGATAAAAGAAATTGAGAATAATTTATGAATTAAAAAAAAATATATATAAACTAGCATAGCTTAGCCACTCAAAATGCTTTTAACAATGACAAACTCTATCTTTATTTGAAATAAATTTTATCTAGTTTACAGTGAATCAATTTTTAATTACTTAAATTTAATATTTATTTAGTTATCGCCTCCTATTTAACAAAAAACATGACTTGTTAAAAAAGACACAAAACTTGAATTTCCTACTTTTCTGCTGAAAATTGGTCCTTTTATATAATTTTTTTTGCATCTCTAGAAATCTGCTATCATTCTTATAAACATTTCTCTTTACTTACGAGACATCCTGTATAACATGCTTATAAGTATGTAATCTGAAAATATAAAATCTTACACTGTAGTATAGTAAAATTTGACAGGTATGTCTAGTAAACAATATAGTAATTATAATCGTAATATTATATTATTCATACATTAACTTTATTTTTATTTGCAGGTAGCGGTTCATCAAAAGATTTTGTATCTAACATTCCATTACAAAGTGTATGAATCCACAAAATACGAAGTACTTATCATTAATTAGAGTATGTTCATTAATGAATGTTATGTTTTTTATCAACTTCGCCAGCAAAGATATAAATATGTAAATGTTGACTAAAGAATCATTAAACTATTATTTGTATATCTGTACACCATATGTAAATAAATATATTTATTTATGTTATATTGCTTTTCTTACTTTTTTTGAGAAATTTTACTTTTTGGTTCTACAGTTATAGGAGGAATTGGTTGTTACACGTACCATATTGCCACATGACGGATTCTATCGAAGAGGAAGTTATCGTGTAACTTTTTTTAAAATTTGTAGTGTGCAATAAATGTTTTACTTAAAACAAAAATAAGTACAGGAACGTCTTGATAATCCGATCAAGTTGATTGCATGATCTGTTCGGATTATCGGAAATTTAAATTTAAAATGATATTAAAATAGCACAAGGTAACAAAAATATAAATATTATTAGTTAAATATAAAAAAAAAAAAATTAAAAACAAAATTATTGCCCAGTCAATGAATGCTCGAAAAGGATGTCTAAAAGGAAATGACGAGTACACAATTTTTGACTTTAGGCGACTAGTAAGGACATATTTGACTTTATTTGGACTAGTAAGGAGGTAAACATACTAAATGTTGGTGAGCCAGATGGTGGTGGGGAGAGACGGGAGGAGGGGACAATTAGAAGGTCACGTTTTTCTAGTTTTCGCTTGTCAATCTGCCCCAACACCTGTGGGTATAATTTTGGAATAGTTTTTACTTTTTTTGTATAGTAAAAAACATATTACTGATTATAATAAACGAATTCAAATGAGTAATAAAAAAACAAGGACTTATAGGTGTGTTCAGCTGGGATTTTCACTTAAAACTGGAAAATCAGAGTAAGGGTAGGGATATTGAGGAATTTGCTGACCTGTTTGGGTAATAGGAAAAAAATCTAGAAAATTACAGTTTCTAAAATTTGAAGATTTGGATGGATACAAGGGGAAAACACTATATCTATGAAATAATAATTGGTAATTGGTTGACTGTCGTGGATAATGAAGAGAAGTTGGGGTGGTCAGTCAAAAAGGAAGGCAAAAATAAATGATAATATTTATTTTTGCCTTCCTTTTTGACTGACCACCCAAACTATTCTTCTCTTCACTATGAAATAATAAATTATAAATATATTCCTATACATATAAAATAGAATTAAGAGATTATAGTTAAGAGTACAATGTGAATAAAAACAAAAATGGAAGAAGTAAAACGTACATAGAAGTAAAATATAAATATAGAAATAAAAGACCAGACATTTTAGAACTAATTTAGAAGTATAAAGAGGAAAAAAAATATGAACAATTATATTTGGTTGTACATATATAAGAAAATTACATTTAAATATTAGATAATATTGAGACATGATTAAAAATTAAAATGAATACAAAGTAAAAAGGATGGTCATACATTGATGTAGAATGTCAAAATAAAATTAAAAAACGTCCGCCAAGTAAGGTCAGTATAGCTTCCTCGCTGTTTTCATTTGCTGAAAAATATCTACATTAAATGTCTAAAAATTTGCTTATGAGAATAAAATCATTGGAAGAAGCCATTTTCGGAGATTCAATAATCACTCAACATATACGGGCTTGATATCCATAAGTTTTGGTTAACAGCAAATACTAAAATACGAAAAAGTTCCGCATTTGCAGATTGCATATTTGATTAATCGTAATTTAAAAAAAAATTCTAGTACATACTCAATAGGTATCTCGCTGTAATATAAAAATTGAGTGTTTTACAGGAGAGCACAAAAAAATAATTATTCCTTTATGATTTATTAGTATAGTTTTATATTTTATTACCCTCTTCTATTTTTCATAGTAGTAGACAACATATATCAATTTCAGACTACATAACGTCAAAAATAGAATAAAAATTGAAAACTTTTACATACAACCTTTGGACTAACTGTAGTGATACATACTTAACAGGTATATTTTCACTAGTAAAATAAATGGAACAAAAAATTCAACTTTGTGTTTGTTCGAAGTTAACGAGACCAATACTTTTCTTCAATCAGAACAAAACTAATTTAATCTGGAATATAAAAATAAGAATCAAGTTTTTGATATTTAAGGAGAAAATCAATACCACCTGATTTTACTTCAATGGAAATAAACACATTCAGAAATGAGATTTTTTTTTTTTTACAAATTCAGTGTAAAAATTACTTTAAATTACACAAAATCTATCTAGTGGCAATATGTTTTATGCCAGTAACGTTTGGAATCGACCAAACGATACTTTATAAATAATTCTTTTTGAATAAAACCTAAAATTCTAAAACTCCATAACAATATTATTATAACCTAACGCTCACTCCATATGATCTGTGGCTTCAACATTTTACAGCCATTATATTGTTGTTAATTTTAATTATTAAATGGAATTATATGAAATTGATACTAAGTCTTTGCTGTTCTCCAAATTTCCTCCAAGTTTGGGTCAAATCTAATGCGCCGTTTTCAAACTATAGCCATATCAACTAACACATTTCATGGTATGAAAGTGGAAGTATTTTTATTTGTTTTATTAATCTTATTTGAAACTCCTAACTAGGAATTTTAAGACATATTAGTCCGCATAATAAAATTTCTTCATTTTGCAAACAATCGCCAACAGCCAAATGACGAAAATTCATTATTTGTATATTAGAGAAAATAATTTATTCTTTTTCATTTAATTCTAAATAAATTAAATTCTAATTTTTAGCATGAATATATAAGAAGATATCGTCATTTTGTTAGCAAAATAACATTTGGTGAATGGTGGTGAAAAATCATCTGACAAATTCATATTTCTAAGAGGATAATTATTCTGGCCGTTAACTTCATATCTCTCCGGATTAGCTATATATTCATGTAGCTATTTCCGTTTTAAGAAACTTTTCAATGGAAAATAACAGTTGAATAACTAATAGCCGTGCAATCTATAATCAACCGGTGTAGGACTTTTGTTATTTTAATAGTATTTCTGATTTGTCAGCTGTAATCTTTTAGTTTTAGCTCAGTTAAAAATGCAGTTCAAAAATTTTATAATAGCCCAACATAGCGCACACCCAGGTTTTTTTTTATGACACCCAGATAACCAGTCAATAAAACCAATTTAAGTAAGCATAATTATCGCCAATTATGGATTTAGGTATCAAATAATTAAGAAACAAACAAAATGATTTAATTTACAAATGTACATTGACTACGGCTGCGTAGTGTACGGTGGCCTCTCATCGGAACTTGGAGCCAGACTGAAAAGAATAATGAATGGCTTAGTACGATTTGTCAATGGGACCCCGAGACGTTCTCATGTTTCCTACTACTACGCCGAGTCAGGGTGGCTCTTTCCCTCCTTCAGAAGACAGTACTTCCTAGGTACATTCCTTTACCAAATAATCTATAATCATCGTCCGTCCTACTCATTCAATCTCCTTCAATTCAAGTCATCTATCCACTCCCTCTCCACAAGATCTCGTCCTTCCGACCTTTATACCCCTTTCCACAAATCGGCCTCATTTCAACACTCCTTTATTGTCCGATCCACCTCATTATGCAATTCCATCCCACTTAAAATCTGCCATGCACCATCCTTATCCACATTTAAAACCCTCCTTTTCCAATTCCTCCTTACAATTCAATCAGACGCTGGGTAGCCTATTATTGTATTTTTATACTATTATTGTAATATATATATATATATATATATATATATATATATATATATATATATATATATATATTAGTATATATATATATATATATATATATATATATATATTAGTATATATGCTATTGTACTATTGTATTCTTACTATTATTGTATTATTGTATATATATACTATTATACTAATATTGTATTCTTCGAACATACTATTATTACTATAAAATCTTTATTATTATTTTTTGTTTTCATTAATACAATGACATGACAACAAAAGTTATTTGTCGCTCATTTATAAAATCATAGCTTATTGTGTATAGCAACTATATTAGGACCTTATTGCTCATGTTAAGTCTTCCTATATCTGTACAGTTATGTAAATACTTCTTTCATCTCTTATTTTTTAGTTTTTTTTTTTGTTTTTTTTTTTTTTGTTTATTGTAATATACATTTTGGCCAGATGTAATGTTAATTTTATGTACAATATTGTTATTCTCAAGGGACGTAGTCCCAGAATAAAGTTGATTCTTCTATTCTATTCTATTCTATTCTACAATATACAACAGATAACAAATACTCGTATATTTATCACCTACATTATTGGTTTTCCCTTAGATTGAATATTACATAATTAATTTGTTATCGTTCGATTTATAAAATGATGTTTAAAACATTCCACGAATGATCTGATCTCCATTTGGAAATGGAACAGAAAGGTCAGCAATTAAAATATTCCTTCTAGGCTGGTATTGCAGATTTCAATGTCAAAGGTGATTATTGGAACCTTGCTAATAAACAAATGATCAACCAAAATAATCAATTATAAATTAATATTAATTATTCCTTTAAAAAATTACGTGATATCAATATATTATTTAGGCAAAAAGAAATTACTACAGATTGGTCTTTAGTCAATCAAAAGTCAACTATTTTTAACCGACTTAAAAAAACAAATCTGATGCGGTGCGTGCATCACACAACTCCAACTTATTAGCAGAACTATTACCAGAAATAAGTATTTTCAGAAACAGGAGAAGTGAAAGTAAAAATTATGAATGCTATAATGATTTATATTTCATTGTGAATAATTTTATTTGTATAAGTATTCCCATATATACAAATTTTAATATTTGTATCGCTGTAATCTATACAAATAAATATTAAATCTGAAATCCGCGTATGTATATTTACATAATATTGTCGGAGTCCTTATGACATTAAACAGTACCGTTTTTAAACATTCTGCGCACCCCGGGCAATGAAGTTATCTTTTCCCCCTTCCCCTAAAAAAATAAATTTATTTCTTAAGCTGTTTTATGTTATGTAAAATTTGCTTTTTATTTCATTTTACATTTCTCTTATGCAGTTGCTTTATTTATAGGCTAAAATTAATTATTTTAATACGTTTTGTATTTTTTTTTAATTTCTAACAAGTGGCGAGCACCCCTTCAGGCCGTCGTCTCTGGGCAATTGTCCACCCTAGGGCCGGCACTGATATTAAGCTCATGTTACGTATGGAAGCGTCTTGTAATCTTTCGGGCGAGCTCGGGTGCGCTCGTATTCCTTAGTTAACGAATCTGAGACAGTGGAGACTTTATAAATAATGGATTTATTCATAATGTTACAAATGGCATCTAAAATATAATATAAGTAATATAGTATGGATATATGAGTTGACTACATCAGTTCACTCTAGGTCTCTTGCAGTGAAGAGTCTGACTCAAGAATGCAACTGTATGAGTGGTTTGGTCTTAGCAGGATAGGGGTTATATGCTCAGAAATAGTCGGGGGAATGAATCAATTCTGGACGGTCTGTGAAAGCCTGTGAATGAAGTTAAGAATTGATATCCTTATCTTTTAGAATTGATATGAAGTCTGTGGGAGAAGTCGGAAGAGGACGGCAAAGGAAGTTATCAATAGTTAATATTCTTAAGATGTCTGTAAGAAAGTGCCCTTTGGCTGAAATCAGTTATTGTTTAGTATTGATGTGAGAGAAAGGGGCCTTTTTCTGCAATCTGTTATTGTCCCCCAATATCTGTTGTTGATAAAGGGTCTTATTGTGTCCTGTCAGTACATTCTCGATAACAATTTCTAAGCTATCAGAGATAGCTTGACCTGGCTATCTAGGGCTTTGTCCCTTAAAGCTTTGATAAAGGTCATGAGAAAGGTCAATGAATGATTAAATGATTAAATTAAATAAATGTTAATATTAATAGTTGTTACGAATCAAGTCCATTCCGTAACTCTTGGTTCCACAATTAGAACTGTTATCCGTTACGATCTCTTGTTTCTCCTTTAGTTCATCATAAAATTCTTTCATATTTTATATTTTACTATCTTTTATATTAGAAAATAATGTTAAATGGTCAATTGTTTCAAATAAAAAGAATTATAGGTACTTTAGAGGAAGCTAATATTGAAAATTAGCCATTTAAGCCCTGTTAGAGAACATCGATCATAATAAACCCAACATTTTATTTAAATATGCTTAACTTTAAACTGATATGATCAATTTAATCGAAATCGTTAGAGCCTAGAACATCATAAAAATGTGTTTAGTCTATGATTTAAAGCATATAAAACATTAGCACCTCAAGCACATAAAAACCTTAAATATAAATACTAAAATATTTCACTTTCGTTCAACTTTTCGTTTTTGAACTACGCTGTTAACACATACACACTAGCCATTATGCGGGACTTGATTATTTTGATTCAGAGGACCTCAAAACATGTATTTCCGTTGAAAATTCAGATTCGAAAATTTTCACGGTCACAATACTTTCCATTACTATATATTTCATATATAGGTAAATGAAAGTAAAAATTATGTCATTAAAATAGTTGTAAGTTAATAGTTAACTTTATTTTCGAAGTTAAGAAATAAGTTTCATTGAAATAATTTATAAACAATATTTGCTTTAAAATAAAAAATAATTATTCTACTCAATCAGCAATCTCAAATGAATCCTTTTCTCCTAGTTAGTGTTTTCTTTTCCTCTACAATAAAAAGAAACAATGTTTTTCCCAAGATAAAACTGTGCCTTAATAAATGGATCGGTCTCTTGATTGTGGTTCATAAACAGATTTAAATGCTATCAAATCGGTTTTTTCTTTTTTAGTTATCTTGTGTAATCGTCAGCAACATATCCGATTCATCGTCCGTCATGGTATGGATCTAGTCCACAACAATGGTATCAGCTTTTCCTGCGTTAGTGTTCCTTGGAACTTATATTTTTCATCAAGTAAGCCATCTGTTATCTTATTTGTAAAATTATAATTACTTTTAGTCCAGCTTTGTGAAGAATTTTCTCCAAAATATAGTTAGTTTGATATGAGCATTCTGACATTCTTGTGTCTTATTGTTATTTATCTAACTCTTCACCTATTGAAAAAAAAATAATAAGACCCTCAATAATAAAAGGTCCATGAATGAATTCATTTTTCAAACCTGATAACTATTATAAACAATGCTATTTTATTATCACAGTCAAGCTCAAAAACGAAAAGTAGCACGAAACTGACTTTTATATGACTGGGATGTCACAGCAACTTTTTCCTGAAAATCAGCTGACCGAAAGTTGCACTTTATATCATCAATTTTCTATGTTGTTACAATTTTCTTTAAATGGATCTGACGATTTTCATTAAACTCAGTGTATCAATGTATAATTAAATAGCCTTTAATATCAGGTGGGCCTTACCGTCATTCATGTCAATTAACAGAGCTTCAATATCCAATATTCAAAATTAAAATACCTTTAACGGTCTACGTCTCCCAAGGTCCTCCGGAGTTTTTAGGGAATCAATTTTTTTATTTATTTAACACATTTTATATTATTATATTTTAGTTATACATACTTTTCTTCCTTGTACACAAATATTATTTTTATTAACAAATTGAGTACTGGTTAAATTTTAAAATTTATTTAGAATTCAAGAACACTAGTTTACAGTTTTTAAAATATTTCAGATAAAAGTTCAGCTACGGAACTTATTTTTTATTCATTATTTATTATGATATTTACAACTGTATAAAAAAAAATAAAAAATACATCTAGTAAATTCGTACATGGATATAATGAAATGAAACACATGTTGAGAAACTACCCACTGGTAGCACTCTAATAATGTGTCTACATTAGGAGATCACGGGGCCATCTTATTTTCAGACGCATCGGAGGGTTATCAGGAATTGAATATGAAGCAAGGTTAGAAACAAGATTGGGCCAAATCTGAAACATAAGGAACATTAAGGTCATTGTGGATGATTTTATTTGTAACAAAGTAAGGAGCATTAAGGATTTTACGAAGGATTTTGGATTGTAAGGATTAGATACGAGTGGAATTTGAAGATTTGGTGGAGGCCCAAACCTCAATTCCGTAAGTCCAAATAGGTCTTATTATTGCCATATAATGAAAAAGTATGTAGATGGTAGGAATTTTCGGAGTTTGTACAGCAGTCCCGAATGCCAAACTCTATCAAACTGAACTTATTTTAAATGGGATATTAGATTTTTTTTTTTTCCATATATCTGTATTCGCTCAATATGTATTAATTTCCAGTGAAAATCTGTGACTAGGGATTGTCAAATTGAACCTTGGTTTGATGGTTTGGGTTAGAAAGGCCCTGGTGTATCTATTTGAAATTATTATACAAATAAAAACTTGCAATAGTCTAAAAAAAATCTTTCGATACGAAACTTGTCCCTATAATTAAATTATAGAAATCGTATTATATCTTATGATCTTACTGTTAATAAACCATAATTTTTAGCATTTACAAAGAATTGCAGCTCTTTTGTGGCAAGTGAAAGGCTTCTCTGACCATCACAGTGAATTTATAAATTTCAAATTTTAACTACTGGAGTATGCAATTCAACGATAGTTTATTTTGTACTTTTATGAATCTCTATAGTGTTTTTCATATGAATCAAAAACTTAGATAATACTAATTGTAAGTTGAATATATTTGTATATTAAAACCCAGATTGTAAATATTCCAATTTGGGTTTTAAAAAATAGAAAATAACTGTTACTTTAATTTAGGAAGTAATGATTCTTCGCAAAGCTCTAGTTTTTATTAATTGAAAAAGAACATGTTGTAGGATGAGATTCCAGAGAATGAACGATCTAAATTGACTGATAATTCGACTCTGTCAGTAAAGTGGTGTTGCAACAGCTCAATTTTTGACCCTCTGGCAACTGCATCAATTCGTGGTTATCCGGAAGAGGTAGAGAGGATACTTAAGGAGGATCCAAAAAATATTGACATCCAAGAAGAAGGCGGGCTGACATCCCTACATTGGGCCTCCATTAGAGGGCATGTGGACGTCGTCAAGAAACTCCTCGAGTATGGAGCAAACGTCTCTTCTACAGATGAAGACAACAACACGGCCCTCCACATGGCTGCACTAAGTGGCAATCTAGAGGTAGTTCATATCCTCTTGGTTTCCGGAAGTCCCATCAATGCTCAGAACATGTTTGGTGACACTCCTCTACATCTAGCTGTCAAACAGGGTCACTTTGACTCGGTTGAAACACTGCTTAGTCACGGTGCATCCACCAACATTTTCAATTACAAAAAGAAAACTCCGTTAGGATTGGCTGTCACTAAAAGAAATGAGCCCCTTGTAAGACTACTCAGAACTGCTTCAGAGTAAGTTATTTAATGTACTATCTAGTTCATAAACAATATTTCCATCCAATTGTGTTTTTATGAATTCAAATTTCAATAAACCACAGATCTGAGATATCCACGATTATTTATCTTATTAGTTTCTTAATTAGATGTCCATTCTTAAAGTCTCAATACTTTCTTATAATTTTTTCTCTCTTAAATTCCAACTACTTTTTTTTTTAATAACTACTAAGAAATTATTAGTCTATAATGAAAGTTATAATATAATATTAAAGAAAGAAAATATTATATCGATGAAGAATGCTATACATTGTTAAAAATACTAAAGATTGTTTGTAGATACATATGTAGTCAATCACTTAATTTTGTACATAAATAATCTCAATCTTTTATGGCTTATAGTCAGAGATACGGACCATTGAAACTTAATAATATATGAATAATTTTGTAAAAAAAAATAAATTATATTTGGTTTTGTTTTGGTTAAATGAGGCTCTTGGTTCACAGGCATTCGGAAGCGCATTACTGGGTTAACATGAATGAAGAAATACCAACAGATGCTGTCCTGGGTGGCAATGATCCTCACAATTGTAACAGGTCTTTCATTGGCAGGATCATGATTAGTGGGCAATTTGTTCCAGCTAAGGTCTGCCCTAATTTGAGGCGTGCCTATGCTGTAGTTAATGGCTCAGAATTTTCCAGTAATCAATATCAGGTAATATAGTAGACAATACATCTTTTACGATCATCATCATAAATTCAATGTCTTTTTTTTTGGCTGATATCACTGTTTGTCATATTAACACCTTCGTCCACAAACTACTTTAGAGTGATCAGCATTCTTCCATCAAAGTAACAAAAATCTTGCTAAATTTATCATTCCAAATTACTGCACTATTACTTTCACTTACCTTTTTTTTTTGTCTTACCTTTCTCGCCTTTCAGGCATACGTTTTTTTTTTCAGAGCTGGGGAATAATGTAGAATGAAGAGTCATATCTACACGGGGATTTAAACTCGTGGTCTTCGGTTTATCATCAGGCTTCGAAGAGAAAGGTTGTTTTACACAATGCGTTAGGCCGCTGGGTCACCGCACCCCACACTTACCTACATTTTTATTTATTTATTTATTTTTTTGGGTCCTCCCTTTCCTAGCCTGTAAAGGCTATACGGGGTTTTCCCGGGGCAGAGGATGTGGGCGGGGATTTAAAAGACTCCTCCTTCAGCGGGACGCGAACTCGTGACTATTTTAAAACCATTGCCTCATAGAACAGGTTGCCGAGCAACGGCGGTGCTGTGCACACACGCTAGCCCGTTATCAAAATTTCACTCAACATGATATAGAGCTGTATTAAACATCTTTGTTGATTCGATCTATTCATCTGATTTTCGGCTTCCCACGTGACCTCTTGCTAATTATTGAAACATTCATTGCTGTTTAGAACGTTCCTAATGGATTATTTCAACATATTTAGAGGCTGCAGCCTTCAAAAATGGAATTTTCTTTTGTCATTGTTTCATATTTGTTTATGAGAGTGATCTAGGTTAAATACTTCAACAATTACAATATATTCTTTTTAAAAATTATAATGTGTACACATCTACTAAATTTAATCACATGTTAAGAAATAATGTAACAAATTTATCTTTAAAAGCGTCATCTTCCTGAAATAACTGTGATTTTTCTGTCTTCAAGAAATTCTCAAACACCATTTCATCTAAGTTTTTTTTTCTTCCAGAGTATATACCATCATTAAGAATAAGTTTTTTTTTACATATTTATTGATAGATATTACAATCTGTCACAATTAAGGACATTTATAATAGTGTTCAAAGAGCACACTCACACCCCATTCACAATAAATAATACTGAAAAATAATAATCCTAAAAACAAATGTATATGAACTAAAATAAACTATACTGAACAAAAAGAAACTAAGCTAATGAAAATCACTATATTAGCACACACATGCTTCTATACAATATCTAGAAAAAATTCATTCACTCAAGATCTCCGAGCCAAGCCCATCTCCCCACTCATGGAAGGAAAAGCAGGATTCAAGGAGATCCGAGCGCACCTCACTCATTACTGGTAGCCACATTAGTGGTATTAAAGACCAGAAGAGCCTGAGAAGAGGCGCTATAACCACACATATATGGTTTGAGTAGAGAATCTGGCCATTGGCAAAACTCCAATATATAAATAATAAGCATGAAAAAAAGAGATAATTCAAATGAGCTTACCATTTGTGACTTAGATATGAGCTAATTATATCATATTTAAATTATATTTTCTGGATAGATATGTATAGCTATTCTAGGATAATGCTAGAAAATAATCCTTTAATAATGTTAGAAAATAATCCTATTTTCAGCGTTGATTTAGCTATAACCTATCCATGTATTTATTAAATATATCTTATTTTTTAAACCGTTTTAGAAAAATAATTGTTTTGATTCTATTAGAAAAATATTGATATATTGCTCAGGAATTTTATATCATTAGTTTTACAATATATATATATATATATATTGTAGCGGCCCTTCACGTAGTTTACGCGCCCACCACGAAACCATCACCAGACGCTCACATAAGAAGATGATTTATGTTTTATTTACAATATATTAATTTTAAAATGTATTTTTCTATTGTTGTTTCTATACTTTAAAAGCATGTTTATTTTATTGATTAAAGTTGAAGGCGTATAAAATCAACTGATCAAAAAAATAATATTAGAATAATCGAGTACGTCTTTACACATCTTTCGTATGAAGGAATGATCCTCCTAGTCCTCAGGCTTGGAAATAAGACTCCTTCATAGCAGTTAGATCAGTATGTGATTTATATTTTTGGATTTTTTTGGTACTTTGTCTAAGTGTCTTTTCTTTTGTTATGTTCTATCACCTTCTTGATTTGCCCGCTTGTACTCCCACATACTGAGCCAGGAGGTTGATCCTTCTGTTAGTATTTCATCCTCCCACAAAGTCAGGAGATTCATCCCTCCGTTTATGGCTCCCGTTCCTGCAGAGTGTTAAGGTTGATCCCTTACACCGCAGACCGAAAGTGATTTGGGTACTGACCCGTCTGACACTTGAGGTCATCCTGTCTACTCATCTTCCTTCATCCACTTACGTCATCTTACCCCTAAATTGAACTACGCTCTCTACTAAGGCCTTCTAGTAACTGTGTTAACTGTACAATACCTCGACAATATATATGCATATAGTAAAACATATAATACATTTTATTATATTTTTTCATATTTTTCCAAAACGTATATATATGTATATTATTTTTTTTTAAGGTTCTTACCAGCAGTCATGCCGCTTGGAGGAGAATGACAGATGAAGATGACATTCCATATGAAGCCATTGTGGGGGGTACCACTTCCACTGGGGAAAAAATATATATTGGCAGAAGTTTCATATCATTTGAAGAGGTGCTCTATTTGGTTCCAGGAAAGGTAAAAATCACAAGCTACAAAAATATGTTGAATAATTTTTATATTATTTTTATCCTTTTATATAGTGGTTACACAATTGAGGTAAAGATTAAAACAATCAGGGCCTTTATTATATTATCCTATTTATTACAGATTATAATTACTGGTAAATTATGACGTTTATAATTAATCTTGAACCATCTACAAAAATTTCAATTGAACTAGAAAAAAGAAAACCGTTTCTGTTCCAAAAAATTGGTATAGCTACATGGAAAACTTTAACTATAAATCCCCACATATATTATTACAGTAAGGCTCGAAATCGGTTTTGTACCAAATATGAGCTCTTATCATGCTCAAATTTTTCACCAAATCTCAAGATTGAGCCACCAATTTCGAAAGCTTCCTTCTCCTTCAGGCGGGCAAATAGTCAAATCACATCGAAAATTCAGGCATAAGTTATGAAAGAAAACAAACTTTATTTGCGAATAACTAAAAAATTACACACTTTTCCATGACTTTTCAATGCCCATGATTATATAAAAGATTATTTAATTCTCTACAAAAGGAAAAAAAAATCATCGAAATCGGACAATTTTTAGCAAAGATACAGCTTACTGAAATTTGTAAACATGTTGGTTCCAAACACAGATGAAGATTTAAATTAATTTTTGTTTCCTTTGTCGATTATATTTATCTATGAAATAACATTTGATTTCTTTATCTTATGATACGTTGCATTATCTTCTTTTCTTATTAATTTGGAATTTGATAACAATATGCTGTGCGAATTTTTCACACGGGCCTGCTAGTCAATTATAATTCACGTTAGAAATCAAGAATACATTAGAAGCCATAGACTGCATAATGAGGATCGCATAGATATAGACAAGTTGTAAATAGGGATCAGAGATAATATTATAGAGGTCTCTAATCTATCTTGGTTACTGTTTCGGATTCAGAAATATCTGAGCGGAGCGCACTTATAAACCAGGTGAATTTCGTACTCTAAAGTCAAATATATAAAGTTTAATTTTTGGAATTCATCTGGTTCACAAGTGCACCCGCTCTCAGAAGATTTTGGACCCAACACTGGAACTCTACCAACCTAATTCATACCAAAAACTTGTCAATATCTATCCTCATCAGGAGGTCTAAGGCTTCCAACCTATTCTAGATTTCTAAGCTAAAATTGAATAGATTTATGTTTGAAGCAGTTTTCTGTCACCATATCAATTTTTTGTATCATAAATTTTTTTTTTTTACTTTCACTTACCTATATATCAAATATATTGTAAGAAAAAATATTGCGATCATGAAAATTTTGGAATCTGAGTTTTCAACGGAAGTACCCGTTTTGAAGTCCAAATAACCAATACTCACAAAATGATCTGTATTTCCGTGCATGTAAGTGAAAAAACTTGCTCAAAAACAAAGAGTCATAGGAAACTGTAATTGCGTACTTAGTGTTTGTATATGCCCGAGATGTAACAACAAAATTTTTGTATAAATCGGTAAACCGGAAGTGGGACTTTATATCTTCGATTTAGCACATTTTTAGGATTTTCTTCAAACCGGCTCTAATGATTTTAATTAAACTCGGTATATCAATACATTATTAAGGTCTTTAATATCAGCTTGGTCTTATCCACATTGATGTCGCCTTACAGAGCATAAATGCCCAATGTTCAATATATCCTCCTCTAAAATACCTTTAATTTAGTTTATTTAAAAAAATTAACTGTCTCTCATTGTTACGATTTACGGAAATATGCTAAATAGAACTTTTGAAAGAATTTTATCATTAAATAAAAGAGATTCTATAAGATGAAATAACCATTTTTCATCTCCATTCACCAACCTTTTCTAAAGTGGGTCGTTTTGTTGTCGTTTTCGTAGTGAATCACAAACAGAAATACGTGTTGCCAAGTTGACTTCTGTTAGAGAGTGAGGGGCCCGATTACCCAAAGCCTGGAAACATAGCCGAGCTTGCGCAAATGATTTTCTATCCTTGTGTGCGACACATTTAAGACCATATCAGTTATTCACACTGATAGGGTGGGAACACAGGCCTTAACATTGCTCGTTTAATTTCATGTGGGCGACCATACCGTTGAGCATCATTGACGTCAACATTTTCTGAATGAACTTTGGCAAACCAATTTTGACAGATGCCTAAGGTTAAGGCATCATCCCTATAAACACTGCAAATTTTTCTATGAGCTTCTTCAGCACGCTTACCTTTTTTAAAATAATCCAACAAAATATGCCGATAATGAATGATATTTTCTTCCATATTCATAGTGCAACAGCAAACACAATAAAAAGCTAATTTCAACAAGAGATAACTGATATAGTTGTTGACATATTACAAACAGGATAAACAATCCACCTTAGGAATTCATCAGATAAGAAGTGTATCGTAGTGACATAAAAATAAACAGAAAAACCGAAAGGACTTATTTGCTAACCTATATTTATCCTCATTATTATTATTGACCAATTTATAGTAAATAATTTTTTTTTTTTTGTAATTTTACAGGTTCGTAGCAGTAATAGACGCCTATCTATGCCTCTGTTTGGTAGTGTGTATGACAAAACAAACTATGAAATACTTGTATCCTACTATTAAAAGATATTTTAGATAAAGATATATAAGATAAGATAAATATATATATATATATATATATATATATATATATATATATATATATATATATATATATATATATAGAGAGAGAGAGAGAGAGAGAGAGAGAGAGAGAATAGAAAAATAATTTATTAGAATAGAAAAATAATTTTATTCTGGGACGAAGTCCCTTCAGAATAACAAAAAAGTACAGAAATTAAAATTTTACATCTGGCCAGATAAAAACAAACATAACAAATTAAGATAATGATAGGTCATTAAAGAAAAGTAAAGAAAAAAAATATTGGTTATACATACTATATACAAAATAAAATATAAAAATCTATATAAAAAACTCTTGAAACCATACTAAGATATTTAAAACTATGTACGATGTTAAAATATAAATAAACCCTTTTAGAAAAAATAAAAAATACAGAAAAAATAAATGTATATTCTTCTTAACAGTAAAATCTGTTTCTGTTGAAACAGAAAAAAAAAAAAAGAGAAAAAGAAAGTCGAATCTATAATAAGTATTCAGGTCATGAGCTATATGTGAATATGGTCTTATATATAATGTGTAATTTTACATAAAAGATTAGCTGGTGCCTGACTGTTTTTGGGACAGGAATTGGAATAGGAGGGTTTTGAATGTAGATAAGGATGAAGAATGTCGAATTTTGATTGGAAGGGAATTCCAGAAACTAACAGAACGTGCAATAAAGGAGTTTTGGAACGAGGCAGATCTGTGAGAAGGAATGTAAAGGTCGGAAGGTCGAGATCTTGTGGAGAGGGAGTGGACTGAGGACTTGAATTGGAGAAGGTTGTAGGCGTAGGAAGGACGATGATTGTTGATGATATGATAGAGGAATGTATATATACATACATTATATATATATACATACATACATATATATAATTTTAATTTTATTTCTGTAACTGTGCAACGGAACAAATTTTAAAATATTTGTATCATATTCCTCAATTATATTGGAAAGATATACTCATTTATTTATTTAATATATGATTTTATAAATTTAGAGACTTGATATAAAATCAAATAAAAAATTGTCAGTAATAGAGCGTAATTATCATTTTTCATGAAAAATCACGTGGTTATAAGCGCCTTTTAAGTGCATCTTTTAAAGTTATGTTGTGATTTCTAATTTTGAATGTAATTTGTTTAAAATCAAAAAATAAAAGTCATAAATTGGTTTTTACTTTTATTAATTCCTCAAGGTAGTATACAGCTGACATCTCAACCCATCCTGACACTGTTATCACCACGTATGCTGATAACACATGTATCCTATGTGTTCATAATGATCCATCAGCTGCATCCCAAACTCTCCAATCACATATTACAAATCTTGAAGAATGGTGTAAAAACTGGAGAATTAAAATAAATTCCAATTAATCCCACCAAATTACCTTTACCTTGCGTCGCAAACCTATGACCTCCTGTCCTACAGTATCCTTTAACAGTTCCCCACTTATCATAATTGAATCAATCCGTTACCTAGAACTCCACCTGAACAAACGACTCACATGGCTGAAACTCAAGAAACCGCTCGACGTTTCCGACTATTCCAGCACTTAGTAGACAAACCCTATAACCTTTCAATCAATTACAAACGACTCTTATATATGACAATAATAAGACCTATTTGGACTTACGGAATTGAGCTTTGGAGCTCCACTAAACCATCGAATTCCTTTCGTATCCAATACTGACAATCCAAAATCCTTCATAAAATCCTCACCGCTCCTTAATTTGTCACAAATAAAATCATCCATAAAGGCTTTAATTTTCCATATGTTTCCGATTTGGCCCAATCCAGATACCTATCTTTCCATAACAAACTGCAGAACCACCCGAAACCTCTCGTTTCAAACCTTGCTTCCTCCTCGATCCCTGATAAGTAGAAGGAATGAGAGAATGGGATAAGAATGCAAGGGATGGGAAGTGTTGTCAGGGTGGTTTGATCTATAAGTCATGTAGTCACGTATGTAGGAATATGAACGTTGAGGGAAGTGAGTTTCTGTCATTAGAGCAATATGAATTTTCCCCTAAGTGGTTGTCATGAAGAAAAGTGTCAAGTTCGTCTCGTTGATTGTGTAATCCGTTCGCATTCCATAAAAGAACATCTGGGGGCTTTGTGCCAATTGTGGGAGATTAAAAGGAATTTCGATATGGATTCTTGTGAGAAGAGTGATTAGTGGCTTAATAGCTTCATGGAGATCTTTCAAGACGGAGAAAAGGGTAGAGTTTATTAATTGAATCGGGTTTTGTTGGTCAGGTGGGATTTGATCAGGAATTCGAGAGAGATAGCTGTTGAGATAAGGAAGGTCTGATGAAGGTTGTACCCGTCGTGATGTAGGAGAGGCTGAATTATAAATAGATGGAACTTGGGAAGGAGAATTATTGTGAGCAGTGGGATGGGAGTAAACTTGAGCTGGATGTTCAGTAATGGTAATTTGATACGTAGAGGTAACTAACTGATAAGGAGGCATTTGCTGAGATGAAGATTTTAACTGAATGTGGGGGGTATGAGTCTTGGATTGGGAATTCTGGATCTTAGGATTGGAAGTCTGAGTCTTAGGTTTGGAAGTCTTAGGCGTCTGACGTAGCTGCTGATTATTCACCATGGTGTCTGAATATAGTTGCCAGGAGTTCTGGTGGAGATAATTTGTTGATATAGAGGGCTGTTGTGTAAGTCCTGATGCAATTATTTTCGGCAATTCAGGAAACTTTGAAGTTCAGATGCCTGTGTCTGGGTAGGGTTCTTCTGTTCGTTGTTTTGTATTGATATGTTGTTATTCCTTTGCTTATTGGTCTTCTTATAGACAATGCAGCTCCGATAAATTACAAGGTGGTCCCCACCACATTTTGCTGGTTTATTCAACGGTTTCTGGCAAGTGTCAGAGGTGTGAGGATCGGCACATTTGACACACCGCGTTGAGTGATGGCAGTAGGCTTTTGAATGACCTAAGTTTTGACACTTGATGCATTGGACGATTATATGTTTCTGCTTCGGCTCTTCAAATTTTACAGTAGAATATAGCAGTCTTTTGACTTCGAACATTTCAGAATTATTCCGGGCTGATTCGAAATCAATGAAAAATCATGACAGTGGGTATTTCTCAATTGGATGTAAAACAGGAGGTATATGTCTTACATTGTGGCCGATATCTTTATGATCTTTTTCTATTGTGGTTGTGGGAGTAGTTGAGTGAAGACCTCTCAAAACGACCCTATATTTTTTTTCTTCTTTTAATTGAGAGCAGTGGAAGTCATAATTTTGTACTTTCAATTAATTAATTCTTTTTTAATCGTATTTGGTATTGGTGTTAATCCAATACATCATTCATTAAATTCATATCCAATACATCATTCATTAATTTCATATTCATTCATCATCATTAATCATTGACGCGAGAAAAATCCGGAAATTGGTCTGTCCAATCAGATTAGCTATTTTTTACCGAACTGAATGAAGTTGTCAATTTTGCTTACATGTATCAGTGGGTGCTCTGGTTCGGTTAAAGTCCAAGGTTCAGTGGTCTCCTTACTTTTATTACTGATTGCAACAGAATGTTGCTCGATGTGCCAGTAGGTGGTTTAGTTTCAGCTTTCATAACTGAATTATTATTATTGCTAGTTTTTGATTGTTTATTTTTGTCTGCTTTGGGTGGCTGCTTTGATTTGTCGGATATTTTTTTTGTTATTTATTTGGTAAGTTGCCCGCCGACCTGGGGGCAGAGTTTCTGTTGCGCTTTTGGAGAGTTCACCTTGTTAATTACTGAGAATCCGTTTTACTAATTTCGGAGAAGGGGGTACCTACATCTGATTCATCAATAGTTTATAAACTCACTGTTTACAAAGTCTGAGAATAGGATTTGAGATAATCACCACATAACAAAGTAGCAAAGAAATGACGATACGGATATTGGACTGCAGTTGCGGCCATGACACTTGATACTCCAAAACTTTTTTAAAATGGATTGTTTTTCTAAAAAGTTTCACAGAAACTGATAAAATGGTTCCATAAAAGTTTCAAACACTGTCAAAAACCAAATGATAACGAGTGTTTTGAACATTTGGATTAAAATAACTCAAAAACTAATATTCAGACTTTCATTCTATTAATAAGGGACAGTTACAGAACTTCACCATCTTTGTGATGTGCTATAATTCAAAATTGTATTTTGATTTGACGATCAGTTAGAGTCTGAAAGGGAAAAAACCAAAAAAAAAAAGTGATAATAACGACTGCTGTTTCAAAATGTTTTTCCGATGAAATTATGACTGGCCAGCTCGACCTATTTTTTTAACAAAAACAAAATTATTTTTCATATTATCTATCCCGCCTTGTTAATGTTTCCATTCCTATCGTTTGGTCTTAAGTACACAATTAGTTTTATTATTTTTTTTTTCGAGGACCGCACAAACATTACATGCAGATATTTTTTTTTTTTTTTCTTACAAAGTACCATTATTAAAAAGACGAGCACCCCAAAACTAAATTAAAGACCATTTCTGTAGAGAACTATAGTTAACCCACGGAAATAACGGTCCTCTTCCTGATTACCTCATTTGAACTAGTGCGTTCACGAACTGCGCACCCTTTCAAACGATCTTCAGACTGTCTTTTATTGACCGGACGCCCTGAGGACAGTCACAATAAACTTTTACTATGTCTGAGCTACTGTTTTTTACTCCTTTATTGTACCTTCCAACCTCGCCTCCCCCAGTTACCTGGACAGAAGCGTAAGGATTTAGTCTATTTTATTATATTCATTAGTGTAAACTGTATCAAAAGTATTCTTTTTCATTATTGTTTCATATGATTAAAGATATTATTTTTTATAAAGGTGTATATATATATATATATATATATATATATATATATATATATATATATATATATATATATATATATATATATATATATATATATATGTATGTATATATTTTTTTTGTATTATCTCCTATTTTTACTACTAATAAAACTGAATGATCACTTCATATTGTCAGGATAGTTTCCCAAACGAAATAAAATGTAAAAATAAAAATTAAGATTCTTGATTAAAATAATGTTCACAATTATTTTATCTCAGGTATGGGGTACTGACAATTATATCAAAACATTCAGACAAACTAAAACTATCTACCTTAAACACTATTGATTTTAAAATATATGCAATTGATTTTAAAAATTTGTATATTCACTGTCGTTTCCTTTGTGGCACTGTAATTCATTTGTATTTAAACACTTCCCAATGTCCTGTTAAGCACACTTTCAAATATGGTAACACTCTTATCTACTCAAATCAAGAAATACATCCTCTCTCTTGTAATTCCAAACAACTAGTGATGGGGCCACATAGCACATAGGCCACATAGCTGTGATTCTGGCAAAGTGACTGGACCAGAGAGATCACAGAAATTCATTTTGGAGCACCGAAATCACAGTGACAGTCACTGTAAATTGAACATTCATTTCTGTATATTTCTGAATGAGGTATGTCTGAAATAATTAATGGAAAGTATTTCATTCACTCCTTTATTTATTGCTTGATTACCATTTATTTTATAACAAAATTATTTTTCAAAAACATAAAATAAATTTATGAAATAATTATGATTCTGAAAGAAGTTCAAAATCCATGAATAGTGAAAATATACAACAATATACAATTATTACTATCGTTAATCTACTTTACTATTATCATCACTACATTCTAACCAAATAATCATCAATAACCAAGCAATTATAATGAAATAAAAGTCTAAAAATCATTAGATGACCAGAGGATTTGAATTGAAGTAGCTCGGAGATGTATAAAGAGTAGTGGGATTGGATGACTTGAAAGATGAAGGATGCCAGGAAATACTTACAACGGTAGAAAGGATAAAGCCACTTCAAATCTGCATAAAAACGGTAAACAGAGGTATCCTTTGGGATTCCCAGGATGAATCGTACAAAGCAATTTATAAAACGTTTTAGTTTCCCAGACCCCCAGAGACGCTCCCATATACCATACAGCAATAGTCAAAGTGTGTATATATATAAATATATATATATATATATATATATATATATATATATATATATATATATATATATATATATATATATATATATTGTAATATCTCTCTTATATTTTAAGGTAGTAATAAACCTCGTAGAGATCCCTTTCTACTATACCATTACTTCCAAAAGAAATAAAAAACAAATGATAAAATTATTAATATATTAAATTTGAATTTATAATTATTCTATCTCAGGTATAGGACACTAACTCACTGACAATCACATCAAATGACTCAAACAAATAAATAGTATTATTACTTACACTATATCTACTAAAATTAAACACTGATTATAAAATAAAGTCCAGTATGGATTAGCAAGCTAATCTTTTTTCTATATATACTGTTTCTTTCTTTGTGTCACTAAATTCAACTTTCTTGTAACATTTTCCTATATTCTGCCAAACACATCTTCCAAAATGGTAACACTTTCATCTACTCAGTTCAAACTCTCTGGGAGATCCTCTTTCTTGTGATTACAAACAACTAGTCTCTTTGCCAAACAACAATTTCCAAGATGGTAACACTATTACTGAGTTTTACCCACTAGAGTCAGGATCCCTTCTCCAATCCTCTCTTCACCCCAGCCAAACACCAACTGCTTGCCAAAACAAAATTCTTTATCCCATCCTCTTTTTGGGGAAACTACAGAGCAGCTATTTTCTTTTCTCTGAACTAGTAGAACTAGATTAATTTGCATTTTAACTGTTACATTAATTTATTAAACTATCAATTTAGTTATTTTTAACAACTTTCAATTAAGGTGTATATTATAATGTATGTACACACACACACACACACACACACATATATATATATATATATATATATATATATATATATATATATATATGTGTGTGTGTGTATATATATATATATATTATATATATATATATATATATATATATATATATATATATATATATATATATATATATATATATATATATATATATATATATATATATATATATATATACATACATATTTTTAGTTCAATATACTTTTTTTTTTACAACCTTTCATTTAACTTTTTTATGCTGGTTTGTCTTTACAGTAATGAGAGTTTATATTTCAACACTGTTAGTAAAGATTGCTCTAATTAATATTTCACATATTCTTATCTTGGTTTTTCTTGACGAAATCATGATTTAAAAACACTCAAAATATCTCTATTCTCTGCCCCCATTTAATTTATTCTGTTCGGTTATTAACATGTATTCTATTCAGCTCTAAATCAAAATAAGTAATAAATATGATTGTTTTAAGGTTGAAAGTTTTACTATTTTATTGAAGATATGTAACTTTATTTATTTCTTATTATTATTGGCCAATTCATAGTAAAGCTTTGTTATGATTTTGCAGGTTTATATCACTAATATACTCCTCTTTGTGCATCGGCGTTGTATTCCTTATATTAAAAGTAATTTTGGGATACCTGTATTCTGTTTATGAATCACACAAGACGTGCTGCCGTATTTTGTTTCTGTTATATATTTTTAGTCAATATTACAATTATCATAACAGCTATTATCATTACATTACGGACTAGATTAGAAAATAATGTTGTATTGTACTCTTCCATTTTATTGATAACATATTTTAAGTTATTGATTTGTTCTCGCTTATGTTTCTGCTTAAAATTAAATCAGCAGAAGATTTAAGTTCAAGGAAGATCGAGTCATATGATTAAAAAAAATATGAGGGTTGAATAAACAGTACCCATCGGTATTCCTTTTGTGTATGTAAAATTAATTTGAATGTATATGACTATCCTCACACTGATATGCAATAGAAGAGGAAAATATTAAATTAATAAATATATATGACTTTTGTAATATTTTACATTTAAATTGATCTAATATGGTTTGAGGAATTAGCCTTAGATAATGTTATGTTACTAAGAGTATGTGGTTGTTTTAGATTAAAATGTAAATAAATGAAATAATCTTATGTTATTTCCACTTTCATTTTTATTCACATAACTAATTTTTACTGCTACCTATAAACTTAATAAATAGCAAGGAGAAGTATTGTGATCATAAATTTTTTTTAAAATATGCAATAAAATAATACTTCAGCAGTGAGCTACCGTCACCTCATATCAGGTAGTTAATTCTGTTTCTTCTTATTCATCCTTTCTAAATTGGAATAATTTATATAAATAGTTTAATTTTATATTGGACAATAAAGAAATTCAAAATTGAAATACTTTTTATTTAAACCTTTTTCTGTGATGGTATATAGTATTAATTAAAATGCGCATTGTGTGTTTAAATATATATTTACACTCACACTCATGGAATAGCTTCATTTTGTATTTTATTTTCAGAATATCTAACTACTGTCTAAATGATCATTTAGTTATCAGGTAATAGGAATGTATTTTGAAAATACATTGCAAAAATAAACTGTTGCTGTTCTATGTGGTGAATTAGTTTACCTCTTCACATTTGCCAAACTTCCAAGTGATCATCATAGCATCCTTAAAAGTATAATGCTTAAACCAAGGTGGATAACAGTCAGAATTGGGAATTGGCTAACGAAATTTTTGATTAACCAAATATAAGCTAAATAGCTAATTGGCTGCAAAACTTTCTTTCTTTTTTTTTGTGGGACCAATGGCATTTATTAATAAATAGTTACAAGGAACACAACAATATGCAAACTATAGAGATGTTGGGGGAGTGCAGGGTAGGGAGATCTGTACCACTGCTGAGGGTGAAGATGCAATGGATGAACAATGCTTGCCAAGACACGCACATCCAAAGTCGATGAAAAGGTGAATCCAAATAATGTTGTGAATATATTATTAAGAAGTTAATGAAAACAGTGTTAATAATGAGTTTTATAATTGTATGTACTTAATGTAACAAAATTGAATAAAATTGTCATGAGACTTTAATTATCCGTAAAATACAATATTAAATTTTTAAAGTAACATGATTTTTTCTACTTTATTTAATAATTGAGTTTATAGTGTGGCCAAACATATTAGACAAAAAAACAAAAATTGTGGGTCAAGAATATGATTAAAACAACTATTTCTTAAAATAAGAACATTTTACTAACAATTTTAAAATAGCTGTAACTGTATAGGCAGACTGTTTGCAGATTAATTTGCATATGTATATATATTCTAATATAAAATGTAAGTCTCTACAACTTCTTTTTGATGAATTTCTTTCTGAGATGAATAGCTTAGATGATATGTAGGAATGTGTGATGAAAAATGACTTTTTTTTTTCTAAAATGTTACCTATTTCCAAGTGTGTAGCTCGAAAATGGTTTAGGATTCGGGTAAAACCTATAAAATAACAGTTTTAGATAATTTTATAAACTTTAATTTATTACACGAAAACTTCTCCTGCAATAGACCGTTTTTGAGATATAATTAAATTCAAAAATAAATAAAAATTAAAAAATTGTTACCTTTCTTACCCTCCACCCACCGCTGGCTCACCACCTAGATGTCAGGACTTTTGATTTGTTCATACCCTAAGCATCCGAAACAAGTTTCTGAAGGAATCTCTTATATTAGGTCTCTGCTCACGCACTCTATGCCTTGTTTATTTACTGGGCTATTGGTGCATTCTATTTCTGTGGATTTAACCTATCTGCAATGCAGAGGATGAATTGCAGGCAAAAAAATAAATAAATATGGTTTGTTTGATATTTATTAATTTTGCTAGTGGATTACTGTTTAATTATTGTGGAAGGATACATATATAAATTTACAATTTTCAAAATAAAAACTAACATACATTTCACATAGACTTAATTTTGAGTATTAGAGCTGTGTGAGACTCATTCATACCATTTATACAATAACAAAAATAAATCACAGAAGAAATAATAATAGTTAACTAATTTTTAAAAAATATAATTAAAAATAACTAATTACAAAATGTACAGATTAAAAAATTCAATTCAATTGATTTTTTTTAAATGAATTATTACAGGGTTATTGATTTTGGGGGTTAGAAACACTGTAATAGGCTCGTATTTCAATGGCAATTTCATTTCTTTACTAATAGACAGTTCAAATTTTTCAAGTATGTGAGCAAAAAGTGTCAATGCTTCCATGATAAAGAATCTGCTACCTGAAATTTAAAACTGTTATTAAACTCAAAAATAGGATAAGTTGTATAAATATTTAATAAATCATTGTTTTTTTTATGAGGGTCGTATGTCGTATATGTATATCATTATAGATTTATTTTATTTTTCCCATTATTATTAACCTTGTAAAATTTCATTTTGATACTAAATACTTACTAACTGATAAACGACTACTTGCTACAGTACTTAAATAATAAATAAATGTAATGGCTCAGATCTTTTATTTAAAGCAATATAATAACCATCTATATTAATATTTGGCATCAAGAACAGTATCTTCATTTAAATTTTTTTAACATTGGTCAAGTTAAAAATCAAATTTCAATAGATAAATTCCTTTTAAATAAAAAAGTACTCGAGAAAAGAAGAAATCAAGCAGAAAAATTTTCTATGAAAAATGGAACCAGTGGCAGTCAGAAAAACTGACTGTGAAAAACACCAAGAGGTAACAAAACTATGTATCGATTTCCTCTATGCATTTTACTAAATAAATAAATAAAGACATTAAAACCATAAATCATGAAATATTGGAGTTTAACAAAGGGACCTTTTGGGCAAATTGTCCCATACTAAAACAACAAAAAGAAAGATTTGTTGTTGGCCAGTAAGTTTTTTTTTTGTTGATATCTTGGACATTGCAGCTCTTGATAGCTTTTCTTTGTACAGACCCCAGTACAGAGGCATCCCTCTCCTATAGAAACAAAGAAACCTTCTGTACTATTTCAGAATAGAGGAACTGTTCGAGCTTGCCCAGGACCTGTGAGCATTTATGACTTCTGAGACTATACAGACCAAAAGGGTTGTGGCTGGGGTAGCTTGTGGTGCATACCTGATTAAAGATGTGGTGGTTGATAACGTTATAGATTTCTGGCATTTGTCCTAATATGGTGCTGTGGCTATGTTTAGTAGGATTTTCAATTCCATGTTTTTGTTAATGAGGAGCTGTCACGATAGGGGACGTCTGATGAATTAGCTAAATATAGCTCCTCTTTGAGCCTCATTTATCAACCTACACAATGTCTTGTTCAAGTGGAACTCCAATAAGGAAAATTACTCCTATAATGCTTACACATACTTAAAAATTTATCATTTACCCTAATAGAACCTTTGATGAAAAAGGGATTAATTAAAATACATCTTCCTTAAATAGCTTCATGTAAAACTTTGAAAATTATTTTCATTTAAATCTTATTTTATTAAGAAGTAATACATTTTGCCTCACTTAAGAACATTGAGTATTAGAGCTGTGTGAGACCATTCACACCATTTTTACAATAACAAAAACAACAGAAAAATTAGAACAAAAGAAAAGAAAAAGAAAACTTAATAAAATCAAAAGAAATGAAATGAGACAATATTGAATAAAAAAAATAAAAAAAAACATATTCATACTTATGATTGAAAAGTATTAGGACATGAAGAGGATGTACCTGAAAACTAACAATCATTACAGCCAAAGTAGAGACAAAGGTCTAAAACCTGTAGCTCTAGAAATAAAAGAGGAAAAGTGCCTAAAGTTGTAATACTACTCTGTGTAGGTAACAAAAAGTTATAGAATGATCACCTGGTTCATGGAAAAGATTAGAAATGCAAAGAAAATATTTGTAATAAGTTATTATTTACATAGGAAGCGGAGAAGCTCAGTAGTAGGGCAATAAGCTTTCGATGCTTGAAGTCCCAGGTTTGAATCCCGACTCATGGCAGAAAAATTATTTATCCTGTTTCATTGGCCGTGGGACGACCCTGGGGTAGATAGACCATCCTGGGCACCCTACCAAATGGTTACCCTTCATTAAATAATTTATTAAAGGGAAAAATCTGGCGGTTGAGCATGATCCTGCCCGATCCCTTTCCTGCACAACCGTTCGCCTTGAAACAGTACTTTTCCTGAATAGTACTGAACCCAAGACCCTTCATGGGTTGTAGTAGTACAGGTTTTTGTTTTATATAAAAAACATTCTTTTATAACCAAGAATTTCAATTTAATTTATTGTAAAAAGAGTTAGGTCAGATATGAACAACCTTGTTAACTGTGTCTCAGAATTTTTCTTTATTGGCTAAGGATTTACGAAGTTCAAGTTTGTGCTGATAAGTTGCACTTTTTAATGGATATATTGCTGTAAGAATTTTTGGCTTATTCTAAATATTCTAGTGAAAAAAAATCGTTGTGATATAATGGAAATTTTACCAGAACTATGGCAACTATATTACAATGTGATTTTGTCGGCAATAAAAAAATACCTAATCTGAATTACATATAATGAATAGTTGATGGGTTGTTTAGTAAAACTGAGGTATCATATTATTTGAGATGTCATTGGGAATTCCTCTCCATCACGCTGATCAAGGGACAGCATACCCACTATTTCTCTTTGCTCATGACAGAGATGGATGAAGAAATGAAGTTTTAAAAAAAAAGAAATTATTTTGTACGGAAGTTGGACCATATCATCAAAAATTAGGAAATTTTAATATTGAATGCATTATTCTCTCGGCACAAAGAAAGATGGAAAGCAAGAAGCTATAAGTCCTTCTAGGTAACCGGAACTGATCGTTAGTATTTGGTCTCAAAATGAGAGAAAATGCGAAATTTAACCCAAAAATTTGAAAAATAAATTAAGCAAACGAGAAAGGAAGAGCCAAAATCTCAAAAGAGAAAGCAAGAATCAGTATTCATTATATGGCTAAACGAATATATAGTAGACAGGTGAAAAGAATATTTCAAGATGCTGCTAAAAGGAGATCTAAAGGGGGTAATTCTGAAGCAGTTTGGATGATATTAAGGGAAGGATGCAGGTTTATTTTGGGGAAGACCATTTTATCAGGAAAAAAGATTTGTTCGAAGCAATTGGCAAAGTCAGCAGGTCTGGATGTAAGGGGGTCTGGCCTATCTTGTACTACTTCAGTTGATGTCAAACGATTAACTGAATTAATTATTGAATTCCCAATAGTGATTCAGTTTGAGTAAAATACTTGGTACTCAGTACTCAGAGTAGCATTTACGCATCTCTGTCTGGATTCTGACCAGCACACTAGAAAGAAATACTGGATTTTTTCAGAGAAAAATCATCTACACAATAACCGGAGTGATCTGGGATCAGAATACAAACACATGGAGCAGAAAGAAGGATAAAGAGCTGTTTACAAAAACTGGTCAATCAGTATCACATTATATAAAGGCAAGAAGGTTAAGATGGGTGGGGCATGTAGCTTGGAGTAATCCATCTGGAAGCCTCTTCTCAACAATAAATGCCTCATTAGAAGGAAAAAAAAAACATGTGCAAAAAACCAGATGGATAGATAAAATCAACAAAGATGTATCAAACCACTACATTTTCAGCGCCCGAGCCAATTATCCTGGTTGCCCCACCTTAAGGCCGGCGCTGTCTATAAGGTCTCTAATGACAAAGGAAAAAAAAAAACAATCAAATTTATTTTAAAAAATATCAAGATAAAAATATCAAAATAAAATTTTATGTGGTTAATTATGATGGGAAATAGAAAAAACAAATTATAAATCTGAGACTACGAGTTTCATTTTCATTTTTGGCTGTGGATCATTTGAAGTAAATGAATATTATGCATATTGTATTAGACATCATTTAAATAAATTTTGCTGTATCCAATAAATGTTGTTTGTTGCTATTTTGCTGAGAAAATATATCTTAGTACTTTTATTCAGATTATTTGATTAAAGCATTGATTTACCATTTATTGTTATTATTATGAGAAGGAGTTAGTCGAGGGTGCGGTCAAATAAATAAAAAATTAAAATATATCAATTATTTTAATATTGGCAAAAATTAAAATAATTAATATATTTTAATTTTTTATTTATTCGACCGCACCCTCGACTAACTCCTTCTCATATTATATCAAGGGTCAACCACCTCTACATCATTATTGTTATTATTATTGATTTGTTTAAACATTGTTTATATAGATCTGTCTACACCTTTTAAAATTTCACTGGCTCATCTAAAGAATAATTATGAGTTTTAATGCCTCAAGGGTTGAGTTTGATCAATCTCAAAAAGTTAAAATACCAACCATATTAGAATAATGTTGGCTTCAATGGTCATTCAAAGTTAAATTGGTGTTATTACTAGTTATTAATTTACAATCAATTTATAGATTGATGGATGCTTATTATATTTTCTTTTTTTCACATATTAAAATTAAATAATCGGTGTTTTAAATAAACTATTCAAATTTATATCAGTAAATCTGTATTTGTATTTAAATTAAGTAATATATATATACATTGATATTTACCAAGGCAAATTCGTGGTCCATCAGAAAATGGAAGATAAATAAATTGATGTATTTTTTCATCTAAAAATCTCTCTGGTTTATATTTCTTTGGATCTGAAAAATAATTTGGATCCAAATGTAAATTTTGGAGAGGCACTACAATCCTTGTCCCTTTATCAAGTTTTACACCACCAAGCTCTGTATCTTTGTTACAGACTCGATTTAGAAATTGTAATGGAGGATGTAAACGAAGTGTTTCTAAAAAGTAAAAAACAGATATTTATCACTTCATCAACAAACATAAAATTGTAACTTTAGAGAATAATCTAATCTAATTCTATAATTATTAATTAAAACTAAAGTAAATTAAAATTTCGTGTTCTTATATATCACATTTTATTGTTCAACAGGAAGTGATTTAAAAAAAAAAATACTCATGAAAAAAATGTAAAAACATATTAATTTTCTTTAAATTTTTCGTTCAATCTAGCTCTATACAGATTCACCTCTTGGAAATCAAAATATAACCTCAGTAAAATATCTTAAAATAATCTGCTCGAAGAATTGAAAAGTACTCTTTCAATGGACTTTAAATTGATTCAATCAATGCCTAAATGGTACCCTAAAACAAAGGGCTTTATTCAAAATATTAATTAAAAAAAATTGAGATAAATTGATGAATAACTGTATAAAATAGATATGTAAAAATTTTTACTGCATTCAAATTCTTGTTTTATACATTAATATGTGATAAAAATATACGTATTTATTGTTAGGAAATATTTTTGAGAAAATCGTTAGGTTTTTGAATAAACAAAATGTAGAAAACAATTGTTGTCGTTGATTGTTTTATCTCCTATCAGTCCATGTTGGAAAACTTTTTCTGGTCACAATATCTGCAGGTGAGTAGTGGCATTTGCTGTGTAGTGTTTTCTGAGTATGGTGTTTTATTGTTGATTGTAATTCATCTTATTTAGTTGTTGCTGATTGTTAGATATCCTGTTAAGAGAGGGTTTGTTAACTGTCTTTGTTAAGGTAAATAAGTTTGAACAGTAACATTAGGAAGACCAGCCAAAAGTGGCTTTCCAAGGTTCAACTACTGGAAGAATAAGACTGGGGTCATTGAAAAGAACCATTTGTACTGAAGAGTAATTTGAATAAAAATCAGAGTTAGTATTGATGGCAAATAGTACTGTTATTAGACCTTTTGTAATAAAAAAGTTAAGCCTATAAATCGTTGAATTTGGAGTTATAGATAGATAGAAGATAGATAGAAGAATCAACTTTATTCTGGGACTACGTCCCTTGAGAATAACAATATTGTACATAAAATTAAACATTACATCTGGCCAAAATGTATATTACAATAAACAAAAACAAACAAACAAAAAAAAAAACAACTAAAAAATAAAGGATAAAAGAAGTATTTACATAACTGTACAGATATAGGAAGCCATAATATGAGAAATAAGGTCCTAATACTGCAAAATAGTTGCTATACACAATACGCTATGAAATTATAAATGAGCGACAAATAATAATAAAGATGTTATAGTAATAGTAGTATGTTCGAAGAACATAATAGTATAATCGAAATACAATAATAGTGTAATCGTACATACACAATATATACACCCAATAATACAATAATAGTGAGAATACAATAATAGTACAATAGTATATATACAATATACATATATTAATATATATATACATATACATACATTATAGTGGGTCAAGTCCAGATGTTTTTGAACTTCTTATAACCTTTGCGATTTGTTGGATGTCGAGGTCTGCGATATTTTGGCTACTGACGATTTCTTAAACAGTGTGAATTTTTTTGACACCTGACACCTTTTTTGTTTTCCATTCATTACTATTGGTGCATTAAACTGACGTATGTCTATTTTCTTTTTTTTTTTTCTTTTCTTTGTAAAAGCAGTGTCAGGAAACTCACCTGCAAGCTATTAGGTAATTTTATTACGTCGTGGTGACGGTCCAAGAACCGAGTTACCGTTAGAACATGGTCTTGAAGTTTGGTCTCACATCTAGGCTTACAGCGTCGAAAAGAGGAGAGAGGAGAGCCAAGGTTATTATTATAGTAATCAATAGCCCAACATTGAAGTGATGGAATTCACTGAGACAGTGTAAAGACCCGTCTCAGCTTTATTAAGTGGAACATTTTGTGAGATGCACCAAAGCTTACCCGCCAGGCACGGACTTCTACCTACCGTGGTACATGTCTTAGTTTTTCCATGAGTAGTCAGAGAAGACGCCGTGATTCTGGATTTGATGATACAGATGCGGCAGTCCTAAATAATAGTATCCCTGTACATTGTAAAGCGACTTGAGAATCTTTTATGATTTTTTGGATAGGAGACATTTCCAAGAAATTGGAAGATCGCCGAATAAAGACCACAGGAAAAGTGGGACAGATAATCTCTCTACATCGTGTAAACAACTATTTCTCCTACTTGTGTTGATAAAGATCCTGAATAAACTCATAATGACCAGTTCTTCGCTCCAGTTTTGTTCATGTGAACTATGCACTGCAATACAGCTCGACTAGAGGAAGAAGAATTGTTGATGTTCTGTAGAAAGTTCGCAGAGGTGTTGAAGAAACAACGAAGCGATATGTCATACAGCTCCTCTTTGACATTTCCGCTGCCTATGCTCTACATGTTTAGAGTATCACTATTGGTCTAGAGTACCGCTGCAGATGCTAAAATATGATGCCTCCAGCAACTTGGGGACTCAGATTTACAATAAATGTTTTGTAATTATTTTTTCTGGAATACTGTTACATTGATAAGATGAAATTTTACATCAAATAATTGTTTTACAAAACTAGAGGCGAATTTCAGCTTCTGCTGTAGAATGCAGTGGTGACGAAAAATATTTGTATTCTCAAGTTTTAAAAGTTTAACTTTCTCTTCACCATATTTCACGAGGTTCGCTAAAAACAAAACTTCCTTCTTGAGGCATACTTAAGGATCCAGAATTTAATTTTGTGGAGAACCGAAGTTTTTATATATATCACATTAATTACTTTGAAAGAAACTAAATACCAATATGAAATGATTCTAGAAGTCCTGATAATGTAATTAAACGAACAATAATACTTTTAGAAATAATTTTTTTCATAAATATGGTTATATTTTACCATTTTTTTGTGGAGCTCGAAAGCCCCCTATAGATTCGGCTGTGGTGAGGTATTAGGTTATCCCATAAGTTGTTTCCATTTTCTTTATTTTTTGTTTAAGGTTGATTTAATGTGTTTTATATGAACCGTTCTAGCCTATTACCTTCTTCCATCTCTCAGGAAGCATCTTGTACCTTTTTTTCATAATAGTTAAGATATACTTGAAAATTATTCATCGACATGCGTTTTTATTTCGCTTTAGGATTTTTAACGTTATATCAGAGAGAATTTTTTAACGAAAGAAACAAGTAATAATCGGATAAGACAAGATATAGGGAGTACGGAGGATGATGTAGAATGTTCTAATCTAACTGTAAGAGTTTTTGTCTTTTTTAATTTTAATTTTCTACTTTATAAAGGTTGGGTTTGCCCCTGGAATATCTCCCGACATAAAGGTTGATCCACGGCTGATGACTATCCATGACAGAATAAATAATCACCTGCCATGAGCCATGGCACCGGATACGAACCCGGGTCCTTGAGCTTATATTTATCCGGTCCCTATATATATATAGCCATAACTTTTATATATCTAATTGCTTGGATAAGTGACCTCCCAATTTAGGTGATCCCCCACCAGGGAAAGCCATGCTGCCCCAGATTCCTCCCATCCTGTATGTGAGACCCATCAGCCTACGGGAGGCAACTGACACTGTTGACCCTACCCTGTGTACTTAAATAGGAAATCTAGATGTGGTTTACCAGGATGTTGGTAGCCCCCCCTGAGGTTTAGGGTACAAGCTGTAGTAGCTTAATATATGTGCTGGAGGACGGTGCTGTGACTGTCGGTGTGTCCCTTACCTGAGTTATCCAGGCTATTTTAAAACTTTGAAGAGGATCCCATTGTTAAATTATAAAAAAAAACGGGATCGAAAGGTCGAATAATCACAGAAGCAATGAACATTTAGTAGTTTATTGGTTAATTAATAAGTTACCTTATTCCCAATTAAATAATTATGTTAATATATAATAATCAAAGATCGATTAAAGGAATTTTGTGTATATATATATATATATATATATATATATATATATATATATATATTTCTTTCGAGCTCTGGAATATAATCTATTTCTCTTTTTCTTTTTATATATAATATAAAAATCTTGAATACAAAATTCTTTATTCCTGTAGTAAACCTTGTAATAAAAACTCTTACCTTTTAAACAACAATTTAAATATTTCATTTCTTTCACACACTCCCAGGAATATCCTCCATATTTTTGTAACAGAGCTTTAATTTCTTGACGAGCTTTGTTTTGAGAGTCTGGCGATTGCGCTAAGTCATAAGCTAAATGCATTAATGTAATAGACGACGGTTCGAGTGCAGCAAAAAGTAATAAAAAAGCCTGAGCTTGCGCTAATTCATCATTGAAATCTGAAAAATAAGTCCAAAATGAGAACAGAAAAAACCAAAGTTTTAAAATAAGTATTTTTTTTTTGTTTACATTTATGAGAGTTTTTACAACCTACATTTCTATTTTAAGGATACAATTTACTAGATTAAACTGCTTATATTTAATTGATATAGACAGCATATGTAATTTAAAGATCTGGTGAGTGCATCACACAACTTTCACTTATCGCTCTACTTTAAATATAAATTATTTTCTGGCAATATTGGTCTATTACAAAGTTTTCGAAGTCCATTTTAGTTAACCCTTAAAACATACAGCTAATTTGTAGACCATTAAAAAAAAAGAATCCCTAGTTATGACAACCGCATATGTATATGTATATAATATTATCGGAGCCCTTATTTTGTTAAACATGTGTTACGTATTGAAGCATTTCGGCGAAGCTCGGGTATGCTCTTCAGCGCTAAAGTTCTCTATTATGGTTCACTATATTCTTTATTTCTTCTTTAGCTAATAGTAAATTCTTTCATATTTTATATTTATCCATTTTGCTTCCTCACTACCGAAGGTAGGGAAGCTTTGTATTCGTACGGAACGTTAAAAATATTTGTTTGGTCAGAATAAAAAAAATTCCAATTGCGTTTTACGTTTCATACATCAAAGACCATTTGGTTCGGTGTCTGTCGGTCTGTCTGAATTCAAATTGATGTGACGAGCATATCACCTACTACCGTTAATCCGATTTACATACAATTTTCAGGGATTGTGCGGGTAGATGCCTAGATGGGCCCTTATCAATGTCTTAAAATTTCTTCTAATACTTTTGGTTAGTCACGTGAAATTTTTTTATCTTTAATATGCCCATTTTTTAGAAACGGCTAATTTGATTCACTACATTTAAAAAAACCACTTCCGCAATGAAAATCTTGTCACTTCATTTTACTAAACTTTACAATGGAAAAATAAAAGCTTAATAAGTAATCGTGTAACAGATTAAACATGCAAGCGTATTGGCTAATTTAAATCTATAGCACCAATTAGAATCATATTTCATGAAGTAAAAATAACTAGAGATGGACAAGGATAGAAAGATTGGAATAACTGCCAACAGATCCAGTTCAGGTAGGCGTCATTACCTGAGAGCGGTACTGAAAGGAGTGCAACAACGCTGACTTCTGCACACGCGCAAGGTAGTATGCTGAATTACTTGGCAAACGTTTTTATAGAATATTAAAATGTGAAGTGATAAATTATTTCAAATAAAACAATTTAAAATTGTGCATTGAAGTCTCTTTAATGAATATCAATGAGAATAAGGCATACAATATATTTTTAAAAAAACCTAATTTTATATTGTTATAGTGAATTTAATTAAAATCGTTAGAGTCGTTTTCGAGAAAATTGTGTAAAATATATGATATAAAGTAGAGCACTTCTGATTTGCCAATTTTTATAAAACAGTTGCTGTTACACCCCAGCCATATACATACCTTAAATAGGCAATGCCAGTTTCGTACGACTTTTCGTTTATGAGCTAGACTGTTCACACACAGTTCACACCATTTTGTTGGGCTTGGTTATTTGGAATCAGGGGACCTAAAAACGTGTACATCCGTTGAAAACTCGGATTCGGAAAATATATGTATTACATATATAGATATAGGTAAGTGAAAGTAAAAATATATCGTTTGCTTTAGAAGTGCTGAAGTATTCTACATTTTTTTTTTCATATGAAAGCTATCCTAATATTTTATTGTTTTTTTTTCCTTAATATTTGAAATACCAATAGTTGAAGAGAAGAATGGTTGCGTTAATCCATAAAAATAAATAATAATATTTATTTTAATTTTTGCCAATGTTTCGGCCCAAAGTTCAGGCCTTCATCAGGGCTGATCAAACGAAATATTTCCGCAAGGTTCGTTTGGCCAGCCCTGATGAAGCCCTGAACTTTGGGCCGAAACTTCGGCAAAAATAAAATAAATTTACATATTTATTTTTACTTTTTTTTTACTGCTCATCCCAACCATTCTTCGCTTCAATTATTCCCTACAGTCAACCACCAATCCACAATTAGAACACTGACAGTCTACGGTACAGGCCTCCATTTAACAAATTATTAGCGTCTGTTTGAAACTTTGTGAATGGCTTCATCCCATCGTAACCTAAAACTTTCTCATTTACGGATATTTCCAAAAACGGCGTTTTCTCATTAAATTAATTAATTTAACAAGGCAATAAAATCTTATAAATATTCAGTTGCTTTCCGCTTGAATCGTAAGATAATTAGACCACAAAATCCAGAAACAATGTGGCCTACAAAATATTTAGTTATTTATTCTATATAACATCCTTATTTTGACATGATGGGGATGGAGGACACGCCATACTGATTCCTTTGGAACTCCATTACATCTCATACTCGTCAATCTAATATCCTTCCTACCTTTAAATCCCACCTGTTCATTCATTTCTTATCCATCCAGTACACACAGTTAGGAGACAAGTCTCTCGAATAGTTATAAAACGTTGATATGCTACAACGCTGTCGGGGTCAACAATGATTCAATCGGGCACAAATGAAATTATGATGGATTTTAAATTAGTTGAAATCACGTAGAATAATTTTTGAGGCACCAAACATATGTTTGCTAGGTAGCGAATTGGTTGTAAATTATTTCATGTATGGAATTCTCTGGTGGGAACAGCTTATGTGGCTTGATTTGATTTTTATTTAGTTAAATTCTCCATTGAAGGAACCACGTTTGAATATTAAGGAGATTGTTTCTAACTGGAAAAGAGATGCAGACTGATGCGCCGCGAAAACAGTGATGTAAGGGGAATGAGGTAGAGGGCTTTAACAATACTATGAGGGAGAAAAATAGCAAAATTAAATAAAATTAGAGTATTAATTACCAAATAATTCTTCCATATCCTTCTCCTTGTCATGAAAATGTACCTTTCCACGTTTTCTCATTTCATTTAGTATTGTGATGGCATCATCCCGCCAACTGCTATCATCCATCTTCTTGTTTAGGATAGCATTGAGGAAAGACCTGAAATATTTCTCCAAATGTATCGGCATAAATTTGAAGCTCATGAAGTCACTGAAGCGTGGAAAGAACGTGAGGCCGACTTGCTGCACCACCTTAGACTTGCTAACTGACAACATCCCTCTGTAGTTTTCAAGGAACTCGGCTTCTTCCGATTTTATATCAATACCAAACATTGTTTGCGAAAAAATTCTCAGTGTCAACTGCCTTAGTATATCCAAAGTCAACTCTTTAGGACCACTCTCTAAAAATTCTAAGCATGATCTTGTAACCGAAGGGAGTATCAGCTTCAATCTGCCAGTAGTGAAAGGAGTCAGCAATTTGCTTCTGTTAACAGACAAAAGAATTGTCTTTTAGAAAACTCATAATTATTATCATTGTGACTAACTTACCTTATTTGTTTTTGTTTTTTAATTAACTTCAAGATAAGAACTACGGAATTAGCTGCGACTAATATTTATAATTAATTAAATTTTGTTTTGTATGATGCGAAAATAAAGAATTAATGAATGACCAGCTTTGACTCTATGGGACTGATGGTTCTTCATTTACCGACTGAACCACTTTTATCAGACTTCACCAGGGCGATGGGGAGCTGAAAAAAAATAATATATTCTTATGGTAACTATCTTCTTGTTAGGAGGAAGACTAGGATCCCAACATATCTATATCGAGCTTAGGTAAGTATCCGGGTTCCCTCGTATGTGGTAATTATGTCAGATGTGAATGTGTTTATGTAAATATATTATGATAGAAGATATTTTAAAGAACATAGCTAGTTGTATTTAATATTTTTTTAACAACCTACAAAACTTTAATTATAAAATTATACTATTTTTACCGATCTTGATGAACCTCCAGACCAAGGTTACAACCCTCCTTTATGGGAGAGGGAGGATGGAGATGTTTTGAGAAAGGCTCACAAAAGTGGGGATTCATTTTATATTTAGTATATACATTTAATTTTAATGTACTTCTGGTTTGAATTACGAAGATCAATAACCTTTCACTTACTCTCTCACAAACTGGCACTTCAGTCCATAAAGGACATTAGCCTCCATCAACAGGCCTCCATTGCTCTGTCCATAGAATTTTCTCCAGCGGTGCACAACTAAAGCCAACTAAACGGTCCAGCCGGATATAAGGGACAACGTCTCCCCATTCAATCAACTCCTACAGCTCCTTATTTGTTCAATTTGCCAGGCATCTCCCACTCCCGCTGTAACAAATATTCGACGAAGAACTTTTTTTTCCCCTACTTTCAGACTTTTTTCTGTTGTTAAGGTCCATGACAGGTGGCAGTCGGCCTTACTATTTTCTTATAGATCCAAAAGCTTTCACTTTTTTGAATTTCAGGGTCTTCTGCAAACCCAATAGGCAGCGGTTCCCAGCAGCGTTTCTTTATATCAGCTTTGGCTAAATTATCGGTGGTTATCAAGCTATCGTGTGTGGTTATCATACATGAATTTTAGACAACATTGTATTTTGTACTCACCTAGTTGCATTGCCTGCTCTTCACTATACATTTTTCTTCTTCTACGTATACATTGTCATCTGGACATTAATTTCAAGCCCGAGTTCCTTGCAGCTCCCAGGAACTCTTCCAGTGTACACAATAAAACTTAAAGTGTTCTTGCTGAGATTACCAAATCATCCGCGAAAGCCAGTTGTATCAGGCGGTTGAAAATAGTACAACCCGGATTTATTCTTATTTTACTAATGGCGAACTCTAAGATTGAAGAGCAGAACTGACTGTGGGCCTCCATGGCGCAATTCTTTTCCTACCTTAAAACCTTTAGAGCATCTTCGTCCGATCTTGACTTTACATGATTTAGTCATGCCGACAAGCCTAATAAGGTTTCTGGGGGTCACTAAAGAATGCAGGCATTGGTGCATATTGTTCCTGTACTGTCATTGGCCTGTTTGAAATCGATGAGCATTTGCAGCACTCGCCCTACTGAGAATATTTGACCTTATCTAAAACCACATTGGTTTTCTCCTATTACTTTCTCAGCCCATTTTAAAAAACTCCTGCTGGTCGCCAAAGAGAGCAATAATCTGAAACAAACTGTAAAGGTCTCACTGTAGTGGTTTGATTTTTCGTTCTCTGGAGGTTTCAAAGTTGTTCTTTTTTTTTTATATGTCGGCCCAAGACTTCCGCTGAAGTCCTATACTACCACTATTGTTATATAATAAAATAGTGAAGGCATAGATATAAATTATTGTCATTATTTTTTAAAAGTCTATTTTAGATTCTGGTGTTTAAATTTGCACAGCGACTGAAAATATCCTGGGTGTTGCAAAAAACAAATATTAACTTTGTTTTTCCCTAAAAAAAATCTTTACTCTACATACAAGGTCGGGTTAGAAAAAAATTATATTTTTGGATAGCTAATTAAGGAAATAATTTGACTAACCGACGTAACAATGTGGGAAGTAAATATTTTTTATATGGAGATTTTATATAAATGAAAATAATATTTAAAAGTCACAAATTTGTTGTAAGCTCTATTCAGCGATCCTGGATATATAAACATAACATTAATCCGAGATTTACCTCGAGTTGTATAAAAATGACAGCAATGAACTCTTGCAAAGCTTTTCTTTTTCAATGATCTGTAATGTATTGTGATAAACATAATTGCCTAAATACCCCTTTTATTTATAAAAATAATGATTTTTCACGTAAAGTGGTTTGCGAAATTGTTTTATTCTCCCAGTAATCTTTGTAATAAGAATTAATATGTATTTATTACTGAAAACTTGATGTTTCTTATAAAATTTATTTTATTTTATTTATTTTTTTATCTCTTTATTTGCTTCAATTATTTCATGAAAATGTAAATATTTGCACTACAAACATTAGGTTTGTCAGTTATAAATACGCATCAATTCCTAAGACAGAAATCTGGGGATAAACACAATTTCATAACCATTTTACGCGAAAAATATTTGAAAAATTATTATGTGTATTACATTCACTAGGTGTGTATGTGTATACACGGAAAAATAAGAAATAAAAGGTTTGCAACAATTAATTTTTGCTGAAAACACGAGTACTTTTAGGTGGCTTGATAGAAAATCACACAATTTCTTTATTCAACCTGACATAGATTTCAAAATGTTTCCAAATAGACCTCAACTTATTTACTTCTTTTTTTTTCACTTTTCCAACTACAAGTTTACAAGTAAGTACTCTTGTACAATACATTTTTATATTGCAATATGTTACAAATAAAATATATTAAATTTATTGGTAAAAAATAAACACTATGGAATAAAACAAAAAACAATACAGTCTAAAATAAAATAAAATATGGACCATTTTATACCAGAATATGTTTCTTTCTTTATGTTTATATTTTGTTGTTGATATTTTTCAACTTAATTAATATGGACTTAAGCTTATTAAACTAGGAAGTTTTCCTAAAAATGGGGTAACTGTTGTAGAATAGAAAGATGGTAGAAAAAAATCACAAATAATTTATGATTTTTTTTAACGGAATTTAACTGAGTTAAATGGTTTTAACAATGACAAACTCTTCTTCCATTTGAAAAAATTTTTGTCTAGTTTACTGTAAAGCAATGTTTAATTACTTAAATAAAAATTTTTTTTTTAGTTATTTCTTCTTATTCAACGAAAACCGTGACCCACTTAAAAAAACACAAATCTTAAATTTCCAACTGGAAATTGGGCAATGGTTTGTATGATGTTTTTTGAAGATCTTGATGTCTGCTATCAATCTTTTAATATTTCTCTCTAGTTACTGGTCAACTATATTAACTTTGGAGATTCTATTCAATTGATCGATTAACGGAATTTGTTAGAAAATTCTTTGGATTCATCATAAAAGTTTTAGTATTTTTATAAATTATCAGGTTTTATAAGCACATCTCTTCCAGATCGGTTGCACCTATTGACTAACTCGTGCTGAGCTCTTGACCCAAAAACGCAGGAGCTTATTCCAAAAGTCCTCCCTTGAAAGCTTTCACTGCTTCCTGCTTTCCGCTATCAGCGCCTTTTCCGCTTATCTTTTATACGACGGCTAAAACCGACCGTAAAATTTCTTTCTCCTGTTAACCGAAATCACAAACTTCCCCATATAGGTCTGTAGTCCAACTGCGAGTGTACATTACCGGTACCGCTTGCAAAACAGTCTCCGTCCACAGCTATCCGTAAAAAAAATACCGATAGGTCTTCTCTGTGACACTACTACTCCACGACGTACAGGAGTAGGCACTTTTGGAGGAGTGCACGTGCAATCCTCTTCAAACAGAACTATACTCAATTCTCATGAATAATTCTTCAAAAGCCTCCTCACTGAGTCAGAAAAAAAGAGACGTACCGTGTCTGTGATGTTGAGGAACTAGCTAACACAGAAAGAGTGTTGGATAAGAAAAAAAAGGATCCTGTGCCCAGCTGATTTTAAGTTAGTGATGTCATATTCACAATAATAATAAAATGAAATGAGTTTTTTTTTTGGGTTGCAGGAATAACTCTTATGTAAAAGTAAGATTAAACTATACTTGATAATTACTATCATAAGAATAATTAAATAATTAAATTAAGAAGTAAGAAATTATCATTGGTTAAAAAATAATAATAATAGTACGTTTAGTGAACCCGAAGATTCGATGCTGATACCATCAATCGCTGTCTAAGTGCATCCATTCTACGATCGCCGTCCACACCCAACTCCGCCAGATCAGAGGTCTTTTTCACCGCAAGTCACTTTTAAATAAAAACTTATGTTTTTTGTTTAAATTATTTTTAACTATTATCGATTGGGTTATTTGTTGTGTACTTTCCTACGTGTTTACACGGGCGGATCTACGGAGGGAGAGGGCTTTGGGGCTGAAGCCTTCCCTCATAAATGGTAGAATATAACTATGTTTTATGGGAAAAAAATAATCTCTTATTGTATTATTGTTATGTAATTACATTTAAAAAACATTAGTTTTTTTGGAACTAGAAAATTCCCCCTCCTCCCGCGACTATACAAGTAAAGATTTTATAGAACTATTATTTTTAAAATACTTTTATTTAAAAGTTCTGTCGATTTTTCTAACAATTGAAAAAATACTTTTATTTACAACTTCTCAAACGAACGCCACACATTACAAACATGTAATTTAGTGTAACATGTAAAACATTCTTATAAGACAAAATTATATTTCTAATTTAAATCCAATTTCTGTTATTTTTCATTTATCAGAACTTTTTTCAAGAAATTTAATAAATACAAGTTAAACGTTTACGATAAACCTGGAACTTTATTGCAAAAAAGTAAGTTAGAACTTTTAATTTGAAAACTTCTAAAACCTAAAAAGTTTTATAGAAACTACTAAAATGGAATTTTTTTTCCGAAATATTTTCAAAGAAACTATTGAACTGGAACTTTTTATAAAAGCTTCATCCCTTGTTATTAACACAAGAGGGAAAATGATCAAGGTGGGAAACGTAGCTCGAATCAGTCCATCAGGAGTCAAGAGAATTTTGTAAATATGTATTTATTGTTGACATATTGTGTCATTTGCACCTGCGCACCTAGCAAATTTCATATATTTGGGATTAGTTTGAGTTTTCTTGATTTGCTTCATTTTGTATTTTTTGTAGTAGGTTCCTCGGCCATTTTCTTCTTAATCTGTGTCGATCAGGTAACAGGGAGCAGAAATAGAAAAGACTGATGGATTAAAGCATCCCGCAGTGCCATACCTGGTCAAAAGCCGTCCAGAAATGCACCCCAACAGTATTGCTTATTTTGTTGTGGGCGGGGTGGCCGAACGGGCTAACGTGTGTGCGCTGCACCGCCGTTGCCCGCCAAACTGATTTATGAGGCAAAGGATTTAAAATAGTCACGAGTTCGCATCCCGGTGGCGGGGTAGTCTTTTAAACTTTCGCCCACACCCCCTGGCCTGGAAAATCCCCGTATAGCCTTAAAGCCGAGGAAAGGGAGGACCCAAAAAAAAAAAAAAAAAAAAAAAAATAGTAGTGCTTGTTTTCTAGGGCTGATAATATATGAGGACTCAGAGTCCTTGTTGAACAGTCGAGTGTTTTGAGCGAAAACAAACTGAAGGGATGGAAGATTTTGAGATTCTATGAGGATTAGGAATCGTTTCAAAAGGATCTTTTCAAAGACTTTACTACGTGTAATAAATACTTACACTCCAAGGTTCAGTGCTATTTATTTTATTTTATTTTTTGTTATTCATATCGTTTACATTTATGTCTCTCATAAACTGATTCTGTTAACATCAACTATACTTTATATATTACTCACTAATTGTAGTAATAATCTATTATTACAGATTATATCTTTAAAATAACTTACTCCGCAAATTCTCAAAAGCAAAAAAATGAAAAGATCATAAAAATGCTTATGATTTACCACCATTCATAATTACATATAAATATTTAATAATGGCTGCAATTAGAGGCAATTTTCGCGCATTCAAGAAATGGATATATACGTTATGCACCCTCATTACATTATTAGTAATTGACTTTAATCCGCTATGCAGGCTTTTTTTTTTTTTTTATCAAATTATTAACATTCGTCTGAAAATTAGTGAATGGTTTCATCTAACAAATAATTTAAAATTAATTATTTGATTATTTAATAATTGATTCCTCCCTACCTTCACAAATTTAGTTTATTAGGTTATTTACATTACAAATTCGGGTTAATAATAGGAAACAGATGACCAAAGTAAGTTTTAACATATTCGAGTTTCGTCTTCTTGATTCTTTTATATTATGTAATAAAATTAGTTATAATGTAATAGTAAAAAGTATTTTACCTTATCGCCCTCCACTTATTTCCTCCTAATGAGAAGATACTCCAGTAGAGTATGCACCCGGGATTAAACATTATTGGGCCACGGTCTGGGAAGGTACTAAACTCGCTGACGAGGACCGTCTTGATAAGTTCTGGGTCTCGGAGTATTAAGGTTGCCGTCGTAAACTCGTACATGCCAACCATCCTCTCTTCTGGAAAAGCGTGATACATCTGTAACAAATGAAAATTAAACTGTGTGAAGAGACTGCTTATTTATTTACTACGATTCGCGCATTCTACGTGATATTCCGTATCTATTGATACCTCATTAGTTATAATCCATATCTCTTGAGAGCCGGAAAAGGGGATATATATTCAGAAATAATATATAAGATTGTCTACCATTTTTTTTTTATTTTGCTCTAGGGCTATTAATCCATGTAATTTGTAAAAATATATAGTGGAAAAATAAACTGTTTATTTCACTTTATTCTTAATGCTAGACTTCAACGGTCAACTAAAAACTTTTAAGTACCATAAGAAATTAAAATCACAAAATACACAAAAAAATAAAAATTCACAATGACGTAAATGTTATAAATCTTATATTGCTAACAAGTATTAAAAATACCTTAATAGTTGTACATTTTTCACCTTATTGTATACGTGGAAAAAGTGTCTGTCGAACTTGAAGGCTCTTAACATGTTGCCGACAACAGGAAGAGGCGGTATATGCTTTACGCCTCTGACCTTCCAATAAGACATAGTTTTTCTGAAGTGTTGCACTATATGTATTATGCTCAGCAGGAAGGCCACAAAGATAAGTTCAACTATCGCCATGATTCTAGAATATAAAACAATCATTAATTTTTTTTCACTTGTTCATATTACAAAAAAAAAAGTCATTTTATACTCAAAGTAAACTAAAATTGTGAAATAATCGCTTAATTGTTTCTGTTAATCATTTCTTTAATTTATTTCTTTGAGTTTAAATAGCACCCAAAATATAAGTGAATTAGCTCTGATTAACAATCTATGGTTTACCCAAACTCAATGCAGTAAATAATTTAATTGGGTGAAAAAATAGTGGTTGAGTGTGATCCTGGTGAAATCATCCTTCACAAATATTGTCTTAGGAATAGTTAAGTAATACCTAAAGCACTAACAGATACAACCGAGGGCACCTCCTCGCTCTCCCTGCATGGTTAGAAAAACGAATAAAGTTCCATAAAAGCAGCTTTTTCAACAAAAGAGAAATATATATAGAATTCTTTCTCAAACATGAAATTTCTAATGTGATATAAAAAATATATAATCGTAATCAACTCCAGTGGATCCAGCAGGGGGGTATCCTCCCTCCTTTCACTGGATGGTGGAAAAAATTCTAAAAAGCAGCTTTTTCAAGAAAAGGGAAATAAAGAGAGAATTCATTCTCAAAGACGAATTTTCTAAGATCCATCCTGGTGCAGCGCCCCTCTTTTTCCTCGATGGTGAAAGAAGTTCCAAAAAGCAGCTGTTTAAAGAAAATAGTAATATTGGGAGAATTATTCTTCATACCCGAATTTTAAATATGATATAAAAATAAATTATTTGCTTCACCAGTTTTATGAATCTGTTTCTTCGCGTCATCTGACAAGGCTGTGGCTTAACTTGCACCCGGTCTTGAATTTTAGTTGTTATTTTGACTAGTTTAGTTCTTTTGTTTATATGCATTTACTTTTATTATTATTAGTTTCTTTATTATTTCTTTTTATTTATTGTAAATAGAGTGTGAGTATGCTCTCTGAACACAATTATAAATGTCCTTAATTGTGACAGAATGTAATATTTCTGAATAAATAAAGTAACAATGTTTAAATCACTTTTTAATATTTATAATTTTAAAAAATCTACTATTGGTTACATTGTGCGAGAATCGAATTACAAAAATCACTGTAGAACATGACTTTTTTTTAACATTCCAAAAGAAGATTAGCCCTTCCTACTTTCTTTATTGTGGAAGATAAATGAGCAAATATGAAGAATACAAATAGAATATAGCGCTGAGGAGGGACAGTGTGACTGACGGTTTTATATTCACTCTTTATCTTCTATGTCGAGATTCTGTCCCGGTAAGCCTGTCGTTTTTGGGGTCGGGAGAGTAAGTCCTAGGAGGATACAATTTCCACGGGTCCGCTTCTCAGAATGTTCATGAAACAACTTATTGCAAAATATTATGCATTGTGAGCCCATATTCGAGGAGACGCACTTCCAAATTGGGAAGGACTTCATGTACCAGGAAGAAGTTTCAGATGAAAAGAATAGGCAGTTTTTCCATTAAAGGACTTGAGGCACATTTTCTTGAACATATTTTCAATCTCTAGCACTGTAATGCGACGTTATAAAAAGTTATTTTGAAAATTTGAAAAACATTTAAAACTATATCGCTACTGATAGTGCGAAAGGTCGTGTGTAACTTTTTTACATGTATCTTCTTTTTGCGCTAAAGGTGACATTTTGTAGTCTTTGACTGCTATAAGTATTCTGCTAAATAAGAAAATAGCCAAGAGAAATGAAATGTGAAACTTATGAATCATAAAGAAATAAACGGTATTTATGCCTTTCTGTAAAAGAAGTAAATTTTGACATAAGAACTTTTGTATTAACAGTAGCTACATATATTTCGTTTGATTAAAATTGGAAAAATCCCAACCACACAGCATTATGTCTCCGAAATGCAGGTTACGAAGAAAGAAACGGTCAACGTTTCGCCAATTTAGGGCAGAAATAAAAGTCTGCTAAGTAAGGCCAGTAGTATAGCTTTCTCGCCGTTTTCATTTGCTAAAATATATCTAAATTAAAAGGTCTAAAAATTTTCTTATGAGAATAAAATCTCTGGAAGAAGCCGTTTTCGGAAATTCAATTATCCCTGAACATCTACGGGCTTGATATCCATGAGTTTTGTTGTTCCGCATTTACAGATTGAATATGATAATTCATAATATGAAAAAAAAATTCCAGTGCATACTGAATATGTATCTCGCTAATGTTATTACAAATGGCATATATAAAAATTGAGTGTTTTACAGGAGAGCAAAAAATCAATTATTTTTTTATGATTTATTAGTATAATTTTATATTTTATTGGACTCAGCTATTTTTCGTAGTAGTAGACTACTTATATCTATTGTAGACTACATAATGTCAAAAATAGAATAAAAATTGAAAACTTTTACATACGACCTTTGCACTAATAGTAGTGATCTATACTTAATAGGTATGTTTTCACTCTTAAAATGGATGGAACAAAAAATCCTTAGGAAAAATTCAACTGGTTGTTTGTTCGGAGTTTACGAGACCAATACTTTTCTTCAGTCAGAACAAAACTAATTTAAGCTATAATATAAAAATATGAGTCAATTTTTTATATTTAAGGAGAAAATCAAGACCACGACGAGCTGTTTAACTTCTATGGAAATAAACACAATCGCAAATAAGACTTTTTTTTTACAAATTCAGAGTAAAAATCACTTTAAATTTACTGAAAATTACACGAAATCTAAGTAACGGCAGTAAGTGTCATGCCAGTAACGTTTGGAATCGACCAAACAATACAGTATTAATTATTTTTTTAAATAAAACCTAAAATTTTATAACACCATAACAATATTGTAATAACCTAACGTCCACTCCATATGATCAGTGACTTTAACATTTCACAGCCATAATATTGTTGAAAATTATTTATATTAATTTCAATTAATAAATGGAATTCGATTAAATTGATACTAAGTAATTTCTATACTGTTCTCCGAATTTCCTCCAAGTTTGGGTCAAATCGAATGCGCCGTTTTCAAAATATGGGCTTATAATTTCGTGATCTGATTTTTTTTATTATCAGATAGAATTTGATAAAATGTATGCCTATTTCATTTTACCTTTGCTAATCCCTAAATTTCCTCTAAATTAGAGCTGAATCGATCGAGTGGTTTTAGAGATATAGATTTATCAAGGAAAACACGTTTTCGAACAAAATTCATAATTAGTTCTTCAGCCTTCAAAATTTATCCTACTGATGCTTTTATTAATTACATTTGAACATAATATTAATTCTAGGGAATATTTTGGTTGATGGGGTACAAATCTAGTTCAGGTACTTTTTTTTTACGATGAGTTAAATCATTTATTAATATTTACTAAATAAATAGTGGACAGAAGGAGGCTGGAATGAGGAAGGATAAGATGAATGGTTGAGTGCCGAGATTTCTGGATCAAGAACTTCAGAAAAAAAAGTTGTATTTATCGATTGCTATAAAAATTCAAACTAAGGATCTTTCTTGGTGCGAAATACATATCTCAATTTTGTTTCTCTTTAAAAAAATATATGAATTATCTTTGCTAATTGAGTCACTACTAATTGATTCTACAATGTACTCATACAATAGCTGTATTCCAAATTTTATTTTTCTGAGCCGGACGAGTATCTAAAGCAAGATTATATGCACAAAATCAGGTTGTTGTTTGTTGTTGAGATTCGGTCCGAAAATAAGAATAAAGCATATATTGTAACATCAAATATAGTTTTTAGGAATAAACAAAGATGATATTTGTTTATCGCACCTCTAAAAATCCTTAAATTAAACTTTGGCAAAACTCCACATGATCTGCACAATATCATAGTAGTTCTTTCATTCTGAAGGCTGCTAGATTTAATTCTTAAGGTTTTTGAAAATTAGGTAAAGGTTGTCGAAATCGGGGATATACTGATATTTTTACATTTTTTCCGATTTACTATAATAACATGAAAGACACTGTTTCACTGATTTAACAGAACTAATATTGTTGAACAAAGTACCCACGAGATTGAAAACGGGACCAAATTTTTTAAGTTTCCTTAAGGGAGCCGAAAACTGAGGGTTTCACCTTACGAACAATGTGAAGTACAGAAAGATTGTGTAACTTTGGAGAGGGTGGGTAAAATTTAGTTTGTGGTGATTCCGTTGTGAATACACTGTGTTGATTCAGTCAGTATGTACTGCGCTACTACCTTGCGGCACAAGGAAAGTTTCATGAAAACAAGAAATAAAAAAAAAACAATGAAAATAAATAAAACCTAGCTGCATAACGAGTGTAGTGAACTATGGTTTTCAATTTACAGCAATATAGTAGCGCAGTAGATGCCTACATAAAGCGCTTTTTTGCATAATGAACCAGAACAGTGTATCCACCACGGAATCACCACGAGCTAAATTTCACTTGCTGTCTTAAAGTTACCCACCCAGTCCAAAAGTTACCGCATCTTACGGTACGTGTTTAGTGTAAATATGTATTTTAAATTATCAAATATGTATTTTATTTAGATAGATTAATGCTTGTATTGAATTTGTCAGAATAACTATATTGCGATTGAATAATAGTTTTTTCATTGTATCTTATGGTTTAGAAGATGGCATGTAGTTCGACGCTGGGGATAGTGAATTCAGCTGGTAATATGTAAAGAGTAGCTTAATATATGTGCTGATGGACGGTGCTGAAACTGTCGGTGTACCCCTGGCCTCGAAAGTATCGAAGCTCTATTTTGAAGAGGATGATACCATTGTTAACTAAAAAAAAAAAAAAAAAAAAAAAAAAAAAAAAAAAAAAAAAAAAAAAAAAAAAAAAAAATAAACACAGAAGCAATGAACATTTAGTAGTTTATTGAATGATTAATATAATAAGTGTATGTAATTAACAATTTTATTATATATATACATATATTATTTATTTATGTATATATGTATATATACATATATATTATTACATATATACATATATGTATATATGTATATATGTATATATATATATATATATATATATATATATATA